TATATATTTTTTGAGGTTAATGACTTCTATGGTCAGCTCAATATGCAGAGCTATAAAAGGTAGTTTGTACATCAGTCCAGTCTTGTAAAATTAAAACTGCCAAGGTCCTGGATATCAATGTGTGAGTACTAATCTGGGGGTATTTTTAGAAATATTTTGTATTTACTGAAGTATATGATAAAATATACTACTAGGGGTAAATATGAAAAACTGTTAGGAGTCAGATGCCACGTGCAGGTTTCTTGAGGCGAGAATTGTGTGGTGGGCGGTGGCCTGGATGGAGATCATTATCCTCTCACCCTGTGTCACTCTCTCGTTCTTTCTCTCCCAGCAGTCGTTTATGTTCTCCCTCTCAGTAAGACTGCAACGCAGCGGTGTGGCAGCCGGCAGGAGAGCCACGGTTGGGAGAGACCCGAGGCAGGTGGGCGGGGAGGGAATCGATGACTTCTTCCCCTCCCACACGCATCCCGTCGTCTCCCCTGCTCCCCTCTTGCACGGATCCTCCACCGGTGACTGGATCCCGTCCTCTCTCTGGCCGCTAGCGGCGGCCGTGGCCTTCCCCACCGTGAGCGGCCACGGCAGCTCCCTCCACTACTTCCGATGGGTGGATCCGGCGGTGGCGGTGGCGGCGGCGGTGGCGGTGGCCAAGGGCGGATCCGGCGGCAGTCGGTGGTGGTGGCATCGGTGACGGCCACCGCCTCTCTTCTGCCTTCGGTGGCGGTAGTGGCGTCGGGTGGATCCGGCGGCAGCGGTGGCAGTGGTGGCAGCGGCGAGTGGATCCGGCGGCAGTGGCGGCGGCCGAGGGCGATCCGGCGGCAGTCGGCGACGGCCGCGGGTGGATCCGGCGGCAGCCGAGGGTGGATCCGGTCGCCTTTTTTTTCGCCCGAGTTTGTTTCTTTTTCGTGGAATCAGACATTAGGATCAAGTTCATGAGCTCTACTCGGATTAAAATTGCTCTTTTATGTTGTTTTTGGTTGTCTCATTGTTTGATTCATTTGGGATCAAGTTGGGGGATTTTTTTTTGAGGGAATCGGACTCGACTCCTATGAGGGACGACGGACGAAACGGACGGTTTTTTTTTGAACAAAAATCATGGGTGAAAATGAGGTGACGATTGGAAAAATACGAATCTTTTAATTAGTTAAGATGAGGACATTTGTATTTATATCGTGGGGAGGTCTTATCCCTAATCTCTATCTCTATCTCTTCTACTATTATAAAAACTGAAGATGTTTTTGCCGGTACTTTGGTACGTCATCCGTGTATGACTCGGTTTTTAAGTTCGTTCGTTTTTCGAAATACATATATGTATTTGAGTCGATTTTAATAAGTTCGTTCGGTTTTGGAAATACTGGAGCAGTCGTATAAGAAATCTCTTTAGAAAAACTTACATGCTAACTTGAGATGATTGGACTCCTAATTGCAGCTCATGATTTTCTAGAAAAAAAATATATATCCAAGCGAATTCTCAATTTCACATCAACTAAACCATATAACAATAAAAAAATTAAAAAAGCCTTCACCCGTTGTAACGCACAGATAATTTTTCTAGTGCAAATAATGTTCATAATGAATCCGTGAAGATACAAACGCTCTTTAAATACCGAACCTATATCTGGTTTAACTGTCAACACATACACACACAGCTTTGATCCCTGGCAGTATGCACTTCCCCTGTACTATTTTAAGGTCAATTTTAACTCCTCTCCTTTGTTCAAAAATAAGTTTATTTTTAGCAATCATTGCATTGGAGTTTGTAAAAGTAAGCAATAATTATATTGAGAGTAGATAAATTGAGAAATAGTTGTATTGGGATTGGATAAAGTAAAGGCATTTTAGTCATTTGTACGTATTGATATATGTGGGATAGGTGAAAAATAAGCTTAGATGGATGTAATACCCATTTTCATATCTGTACATTGACTTTTATATTGACCTGATATGCGAAAAGGCTAACTGTGATATATGAAAGTACACTTTTGTCAAAAATAAGTGCCGACTAGAACGTGGTGATATTTGAAACTCTTCTGTTGGTGACGGTGCATATGTCGATTTGCTGGTTTTGTTGCTCCAAGATTAACATATAATTACCCCATGATAAGCCACTTTATCCACTGCTGTATGTATTTACCCTCTAGGTCAAAGAGATATGGATATTTTTACTATTCTTGAGTATATTTCTAATATATACTTGATATCTTCTAGGTACTGAATCACTCAGAGCAGGTACAATAGCAGGCTATAAGCCAGCTATAAACATATTTCGAGGAGATAAAAAACGAGAGAGAAGAGCAGCGAGCTACAGATTTGTAGCCAGCTGCAGTACGAACTCCAAGATAAATTTATGTATATGACTGGAGAGACTAGATATAAATAGTGTAGTATATATTTATAGGTAATTATTGTATGGATTGGCTATTAAATCAACTATAGCTGATTTGGAGCTAGCTGTTGACTATACTATTAAACTTACTCTCAGGATTGTGTACATATACTTTCTCGAGAATCATAAAAGTTGTCCGAAGATAATGACGTGTCCTCTTCCTCACCCCCAATGCTGGTAGCGTGCCATCACCATGGAAGAAGACTCTAATGTACCACCATTGAAGAATTAAGATGCATTACCACCATCATTGTCACCTAGTTCACACTCATCACAAAAAGTATTAAGAAGCAGACCAAGCCAGCCATTGAATTTGCCTCCCACAAATGAAATCGTTCATTAGGCCATTCCCAACTCAAGACACTTGCCACCATCATTTCATTGTCACCTAGTTCTCACTCATCACAAAAAGTATTGAGAAGCAGACCAAGGCAGCTATTGAATTTGCCTCCCACGAATGAAATCGTTCATTAGGCCATTTCCAACCCAAGACACTAGACATAGTTTCTATAAACTCCACATCATCAAGAAACTAGTACTCCCTCCATTTCAAAATATAAGGCACAACCACCCTCAACCCAAAGACCAAGAAATAATTATTATCATCTTGTAGTTTAGATCATCCTAATAAATGTAATGCATGCATCCAATAGAGTTAGAGAATGTGAGAGTGAAGGATTTAAAAAAGTAGTAATTTAATAGAGAATATGCCATAGTTAATGGCATGCATTCATGTATGCCTTATATTATGGAATATCTAAAAAAATATGGTTGTGCCTTATATCATGGAATGGAGGGAGTAATGGACACTACTCTTTCAATGCAAACATCACTATTTCATACTTAAATTCAATGCTACTTATCTCACATGATGTCTTGGATGTTGTGTAGAAACCATGTCTCATGAAAGGCATGGTTTACTTCTCTTTCCTCATTTATTAACTTGCCACGTCATTTTTCATCCTAGGTGGCAGCTTATTTAATGCTATGGACACCATCCTAGTCATTGGGTTGTGATTAGCCTTAGGACGATATGGGGAAATATCAGTTGCCCGATGAATGACTAAACCAGTACTATTGTACCTGCCAAATTAGAAATCTACTACTAGTATATGTTCACTTCTTTTTTACCTTATCCATTCTAAAATATAATTAGTTAGTAGTTCTCATTTTGGACATCACTACCTTTTTTTTTACCAGGAAACAGTGGGGGAAGCCCCCACAGTTAAATTTCATATATAAAAAGGAAAGAAATTTGTACAAGCAAGAAAATTACAAGACATCAATCCATGTTTGCAAAATAGGTCTATCAGCTATTCTATGTCTAAGTAAATGTAGACTTAGCTCCTCCTTGAGATGAGATTTCCCATCTCTGAACAGAAGGTTGTATATGCTTACAGATTAAATCATTCCTTTGCTTCCATAACAGCCAACAAGCCACAAGAAAGATCTCCATAAAGCATGAAAGATGAGGTCGGGCACTCCTATGAGATTGCAGCATTTGATGAAATTCCTGTGTTGTGTCCCAAGAAAAACCAATTGTGTTCCAGCAAGCAATTGCAAAAGGGCACTGGAAAATATGCTCTCTAGTTTCTCGCAGACCCAGGAAGCATAAAACACAAGTAATAGGAACATTTGGCGGTTTGCAATGTCTTCATTCCAACAAATCTCTTGTATTAACTCTATCTAGGAACAACAACCAGGCAAAGACTTTAACCTTCATGTATAATTTGGTGTACCAGATCCATGGAAGGGTTCCTGCTGGCTGGCTGTATAGACCAAAATGATAGCTTATAGAATTTCTGAGAAGAATAAAGATCATTACCCCAGATGTATGCCCATTTATGCACCATGGAGTTCAAAGAGATTTGGGTAACATCCTCCAGGAAAACTTTATATTCCTCATATGCTTGAACTGATAGAGGAAGAAAGAACTGATCATCGACTGACATCACTACCTTTTTCATATATGTTTATAGAAGCTATAAAAAATATAACTATAGAAAATATTTTTTATCATAAATCTACCTATATTATTTTCTCATGTAAAATCTTAATATTTTTACATTAACTAATATGTAAAGTTCCGAGGTTCGACCCCATGTACTATGAATCGACATTTATTTGAGAACGGATCGAGGTAATATGTATAAACTTACAATTTTATAAACTTACTCTATCACCTTTGTCATAGAGCAATATGTAGCCTTAAGTACATCTAAGTGATTTATTAAAAAAAAAGCATAAAGGAGTATGTCCATATATAGAAAGAGAAAATGAGAAAAGGAACAGAAGTCTAACAAGCAAACTAAACAAACAAGAGAAGTTAATTTCAGTCTCTAAATTTGCCAAGGTACACATATTTGTGGAGTTTTGTTGACTGACTTAAGGCTTTATTTCTCACTGTGGTCTCTCACGTCTACACTAGCAGATCAATTGCTACCTCTCCTCCTCCAGCCATCCTTAGTGAGAGGATGGGGCCCACTTGTCAGTCTCAGGCATGAGAGGATTGGGCCCCTTTGTGAGATATGAAGGGTTCAACGAGGTCCTAATCGCAAAATGTGCTGGCAGTATAAAAGCAGATGCACAGCTACCCGGATTGGGAGAAGCAGCTAAAGTAAGCTTAAGCAGTGACGCCGGCGAGCCATGGACGAGCTGCTCTCGCCGTGCTCGTCGTTCTCGCCGCCCTCGCCGTCGTCCATGTTCTCCACCGGCGCGGCGGCGGCGGCGGCGCACGCGGTGCTCGAGTTCACGTCCTGCGAGGTCCCGGACGAATGGCTGATGGGCGACGTGGTGATGGCCAAGAACGAGGAGGATGTGGGCGGCGGCGAGCTGTGGCCCGTGTTCGCCGGGGGCTCGCTGTCGCCGGACTCGGAGCTGTCCGAGCTGCCGAGGAGCTTCGAGGCGGCGGCGGCGCAGCGGCCGGCGAAGCGGCGGGGGAGGAAGCCCGGGCCGCGGCCGGACGGGCCGACGGTGAGCCACGTGGAGGCCGAGCGGCAGCGCCGGGAGAAGCTGAACCGCCGGTTCTGCGACCTCCGCGCCGCGGTGCCTACCGTGTCCCGCATGGACAAGGCCTCCCTCCTCGCCGACGCCGCCGCCTACATCGCCGAGCTCCGCGCCCGCGTCGCCCGCCTCGAGTCCGACGCGAGGCAGGCCGCCGCTGCGAGGTTTGAGCCGAGCTCCTGCGGCGGCGGCGGCAACGCCTCGTACCACGGCGGCGGCGGCGGCGGCGGCGCCGCCCCCGGGCTCGACGAGGCCGTGGAGGTGCGCAAGATGGGGCGCGACGCCGCCGCCGTGCGCGTCACCACGACGGGCGCCCGCCACGCGCCGGCGAGGCTGATGGGCGCGCTCCGCTCCCTCGAGCTGCCGGTGCAGCACGCGTGCGTCATGCGCGTCCACGGCGCCACCACCGTCCAGGAGGTCCTCGTCGACGTCCCCGCCGCGCTCCAGGACGGCGACGCCCTCCGCGCCGCGCTGCTCCAGCGGCTGCAGGACAGCTAGCTCCGATCCGCCGCCGATCGACGACGACGACCTCCATGCCCGACATCAAGAACACGATCGATCGAGCGTGACACATGTCGGACACAGAGGTAGGCAGGCAGGCATGCATCATCATCACCATGCTAATGGCGAAACTAATCAATGGCCATATCATGGTTAATCCATACACGTACGCATGCTAAATTGCTAATGTAATATATATGTAGTGTGCATCTCAACACATGTATAATAAGTGTCCAATGTCCATGGAATAATTAAGGGCAAGTTAATTAATTAGGTTTGTCTAGCAGATAAGCTAGTACTCCTAGATAGTGTCAATGCAAAAGTTGTTGCAAACAGATCATGACTAGAGAGGAGCAGTGTTATTATTCCCTTGGATCATCCAAACAATTACAATACGCCCAATTAATGATGGGGTCATTGTGTTGTGTGTAACTGTTGTCACTGTGCTTGTTTAAATTATTGCAGATGATTGTGAGGCTCGTGTTGGCCCCCTTGTCCCAACATCGTACTTGTTTTGGCAGTGGCATTGAGTGAGTTTCCGTACCCAACGTTTAACTGTCTGTCTCATTTCAAAAAATTATAAAAAAATTTAAAAAAAAATTAGTCACACATCAAGTACTATTCATGTTTTATCATTTAATAACAATAAAAATATTAATCATAACAAACTTTAGATAAGACGGACGGTCAAACGTTGGACACGAAAACATACAACTGCACTTAAAATGGACGGATGGAGTAGCTTCTAGAACTAGCTAGCTAGTTTCTGGCCTTGGCCCTTGGATGAAATTATGTGGTCAGGGGTACAAGTATGCAACCAACCCTTGTCTCCGCAGATCAATCAAATCATCCAATCATACTTAATTTCAGTAATAGTCATGAGCTAGATACAAAATGATGCACACTGATTAGAGTGGTGATTGAGTTCATTGCTGCTACCTAGCTTATGTTTGTTTTTATTGAGTTGTTAGAGTTTCATACCCCCCAACCAGTTCAACCAAAAGTTTAAACCGGTGAGATGAACTAAAGCTTAAACTAATTAAAAAAAAGACTTAGTAGTACTCCCTCCGTCCCATTTTAAGTGCAATCATAAATTTCCGTGTCCAATTTTAATTGTCCGTCTTTTTTTTTATAATTAGTATTTTTGTTGTTATAAGATGATAAAACATAAATATTACTTTATGCGTGACTTATGTTTTTTTATTTTTTAAAAAAAATTCAAATAAGACGAACAATCAAAGTTTGACACGAAAAATCATAGTTGCGTTTAAAATGGGACGGAGGAAATATATTTTAACACTCTCCCTTACGCGAGCCCCCTCACCTTCAACCTGCAACCCAAGCCTTAGGCGTGGAATAAAAGTAGGCTATAATTTTCTTTATCTATTTTTTTTGAACGGAATTTTTTTTTATCTAATGGATTGCCAGTTAAAATTTGATTTTGAGATCTCTGGCTCTAACATTGTATCAAGTTGCATGTACTAACCAATAAAACAATACCGACAATTTAATTATTTTTTAAATAGTTTCTGAGTGAGGATCGATGGTGTTTCATACTTTCAGCTAGCAAAATTCCAAAGCCATGGCTGGCACTTGGCAGTGGCGGCAGCAATGCCTCATTGTCACTGGCCATGCTGCATGCATGCCAGTATGCTTGTCTTTTCTTCCAAAAGGTAGGGGCCACACTGCCACAGGGGGGCAGCCGGCCAGTAGCCATTGGGGCTATTCTCGTGTACTATACTCGCATCACCATTTGCTTATAGTCTGGAGTAGTATTTTACTTCACATAATCAAAGGATTTATAAAAAGTTTTAATTAAGGGGCGCAAGTATGTTACCCTATATGTTAGCTGATGTACAACCAAGTTGTATATCTATATTCAAAATTTTCAAACGAAAGAATATAGGAGTGTTTGGTAGTCAGCACATTTTACCATAGTTTGTCATGTCTAAAGTTAGACAAATTTGATTGACATGCTATCTGGTTACCCTTGTAAAAGATTAAGTCAACGCGTCAATTACTAAACAAAAGTATGGTAAGATTCTCTTATACTTATTAAGGTGTGCCTAAGAATTGATTATCTCAACTTAGACAAGTGCAGTAATTTTTATTAGCAAGTGATGACAAATTATGATTTGGAACCAAACAGCTCCACGTGTATAGGGTACTGAAATCTCAAAATTATTGAAATTGCGGATTTCCGAAAATTGGAACCCTATGTGCAACTACACAAGTCTCTGCTTGGATGGAAGGATTTTGTGTACTAAGGCTTAACTATTTGACGAAATAGACACTCATTTATTCCTTAGCTAAGTACTCCTCTTTCGTTGACCCAGTAAAAAAATTCAGACGATGGCCACTGTATATACTACTTAGTACTTCGTACTCCTCTTTCGTTGTTTTGCCAACCCGCCTCTACAGTTTTCTTTTCTTAAAAAAAATCTCTTTAGTTATCTCATGTCATTGTTGTAGACATAATCAATTTTTCATATGTGAGTCCGTACATCTTCGGAATTTTCTTTCCCTGGAGAGAGATATCACAGAGACAGAGAGAGCTAGCACACACAATTGGATTCAAATAGATCTTTAAACCCCATTAATTATTCCTGCATAAGCATAAAAGTACATCTAAACATTGTTAAATGTGTGTGCAGCTAGCTAGCCACAAGATGATCAACACTGAACAAAGTGAATCAACGCACGTGTGTACACAATTAATCATACGCCATCTTTAATCGCTAATTGAGAATACATAGATTAATATATGGCGCGGGCGTAATATTAATAGTGGCTAATATATCACTCTTCCTAAAGTCAATGTGAAAAATGGAGAACAAGTAACATGCATAATATTTTTTTATAATGGAATTAAATCCGACCTTCGTTTCAACGAAGCTACAGCCAATTATTGCAATATTCTCTCAAAATGAGCAAACACTCAAGCAATAAGAATAACAAAAATAATAAAGCCAACACATAAGGCGTAAATAATTATTGAAGTCTATTTATTAATCTACATCTGTAGTTGGCGAAAATCTGTATTGTAACTTCCAAGCTTCGACATGTAGAATATATAAGCTCATTGTTCTCTTCCACTTTTAAAGTTGTGCCTAGAATCGGAGCCAGTACGTTGCATAATATACTCCAATATTTTTATAAAATAATAGAGAGAAATGACATTCACAATATATATAGTTGGATTAACCTATAAAATTATCTTAATATCAGAGTGACATGATCACTAATACATGGGTTGCCCTTGAGTCCACATGTTATTAATGATCACATCACTGGGGAAGTTAACCCTCCCTGAGACAAAATGGGTACTACTCATCCTTGTCTAATCCAATATACATACCCTAACACATACTACCTCCATACACAAATATATAACGTTGGTTAGTTCAATTTTGAGCTAACCAACATCAAACAAAAAAAAATTGGAGGGAGTACATGCTAGCTAGTTCAATGAGAACAATTAATTGATCCATGCATTTCACAAGAAATGCAAATCGACAGGATGTGATTGATTGTTTCTGTATTGTGCTAATACGTACTAGGTCTAAGTATCTCGTTTTTTTCTCTTTAGATAATGAAAAAATTTTAACCATTATATCTCATCATATACAGTACATATATTAACTAATTAATAGGCTATATATAATCATAATGAACAGAAAATAGCATCGATAGTACACACCCAAGATGATTGGGACTGAACTATCAAGTACATATCTCTTTATCAGCTAGCTTAGTCAGCCAAATTATTATCTAACGAAGAAGATATTTTTTTCAGGATTATTAATTATAGAAAGAGATACAACTCAGTTTGTTTATTGATTAATTCCAAATAAGAGAATTTAGACGGTTTGAGTACATTGATATATGTTTATTACTTACAAATTCTAAAAATATCAAATCATTCTATTCTTTTTAATGAGTATTTTTAAATATTAATATTAATAAACACGTAAAACATAGGTCGACGACTAGTGTATATATATACTTTGCATAGTTTTCTCGCTTTTCATCATAATATAATATTATAAACACCCTCTCAAAAAATTGTTACAAACACATCTTCACACTACAAACAAAGAAGATTACACGCACGTGACTACTTAATCAGCGTATTAATTAGCCTCTGACACCAAAAGATCGATGTATACGTACGTCGACGCAGAAAATAATTAAAAAAAACGCAGGGCTCTGGTCTGCAAGCCGACACGTGTTACGTGTGCGTACTACTCGTACACAAGTAGCACACAGAGCGTATATCCGTACTCTACTCTATGCGCATATACGGAGTATATACGTAACGTAGGCCGAGAAAATTGACGGTGGTCCGTACGTACATACGTATGCATACGGTCGAGACCAACCAACCGGACCAGTGTCCGACCGACCGACCAAGACCAGTCGTCGCGTCCCGGATCCAACGGCCACGTCATCACTTACGCCGATCGGCTACGTCAGCACCGTGGGTATATCTAGCCGTCACTAGCAACGAGTTCGTCGTCGTCGTCGCTGTCGCTTGCCGGCGCATGTACGGATACTGGATAGATCGATCGACGGTACAATTGTATATACTATTTAACGCCGTTGTTTTTTTTAAACATGTTTGACCGTTCGTCTTATTAAAAGAATTAAGTAATTATTAATTTTTTTTCTATCATTTGATTCATTATTAAATATACTTTTATGTATACATATAGTTTTACATATTTCATAAAAGGTCATAAAGTTTTTAAATAAGACGAACGGTCAAACATATTTTAAAAAGTCAACGACATCAAATATTTAGGGATGGAGAGAGTATATATATACATCACCTTAGTCAGCCATTCTAGTAGTTTTGAAATAAGAAATATGTACTTTTATTAAAATATCCATAAAAGTTCCTGTATCAAGAATGAGACTTGTATATATGAATAGACGAAAAAAAGGTAAAATATCGAAAAAAAAATGTATCAAGAATGAGACTGGTATTTATGAAAAGACGAAAAAGAGTCGGAAAAGGTTGAAAACAATATTTGGTTCGATAAGAAATTGTTTACATATTTATCACTACATGTGTTCTTCCCCATGTGTTCCTAACTCATTTTCCTTATTTTTCATACGTATGCTTTTTAAACTACTGAACGGTTCATGTTTTGCCAAAAGTTTTTATAGGAAAGTTGTTTTAAAAAATCATATTAATCTATTTTTTAAGTTTTTATAGCTAATATTTAATTAGTCATGCGTTAATCTATCGCTCCATTTTACGTATGGAGTGAAGTGGTCCCCAACCCCTCCAAAAGAACCCAACCTTAGTATATTTATTGCAATATGACGCTGAAACAAATAAGAAGAAAAGCAAATTTTATATATGGCTGGAATAAAAAAAAAGTACCACTGAAAACGATCTGCCACCGTTTTCATCTTATCTTGGAATAAAAAGTAGAGCACGGTTTTGCTTTTTTTCAAATCATGTAAATAGGTCCTCAGACTCTGCCATTAAACACGTAGCTGTAGAGATTTGTTTGTTGGCAAAATAAATTTTATCAAACTAATTACAACTAGCTGCTTAATTTTGGTAAGGTAACTCAGTTATGTTCGGTTTGAGATCTTAAATGAAGTGGTAATAACTTTCAAAGTTGTTAAATGCAAATTTTAATATATTAGGGATAACATATTAGTAACATGCATATGATTGTTGTCTTTTTGACAATGTTATTAGGTACAATGTGTTTGGCTCGAGGCTTGTTCCATCATTTATGGTGTTTTTCTAGTGCTAGAAAAAACACCATAGGGAGGAGAGGTTACCGTACCCGGGTGGTGAGCCCCGTGGTAAATAGTGACAGAGCCGAATGAATGAAATTTATCAGGAATTCAAATTTTTATTTGAATTTCTTTTAAAGTTTTGGTAGAGTTACCCGACACCAATCATTACCGCACCTTGGCGTTATGACAGGTAACAGCGGTAAGGTGACATGCTTTACCGAAGGGGACCACCTATATATTTGTCGACAAATTTTTATTTGGAAGAAATTGAGCCATGTATACTTAATCACGAGAAAGCGAAAATTTAATGGAAGTTTAGAAACATCTCTCCGAATTTTATTGTAGAAGTTTGATCAAACAGAGGCCCATCCCGTCAGTCCCAATTAGACGGCAGAATGGGCTATCATCCGGAACCGACTCCAATATCTTCCGGGCCTAAAACGGCCCAAGTTCTTGAACATTTTTAGTTTTCAATTCTCTGTAAACTGCGACCAAAACCATTCTGCATCCTTTACTAGTTCGTCAAAATACATAGGTCCATATGGTTTCAGTATGGTCTTTATAACTTGGAAGACTTACACGGTATAATTGACCGTACAGCTTTGAATTTTGACAACGTATTGGCACGGAAAGCACAGCGCAGCAATTTTGTACCTCTCTTTACTGAAACTCCTGTCACGAATGACTTCTGAAACCCATGAAGCTATGGCTGATAAGTCGTAGGATGAATGAAACAATCGAAAATATTTCATAAATAAAAGAGTAAATTACACCCGCAGTACAACAAGTTGATAGGTAGGTTGATTTAGAACATGAACTTGAGAATGAGACGTTTAAGTACAATAACTTGGCAAGTGGGTGCGCTTTAATATAAGAATTTGATAATTTATAGTATTTTGGTGCAATAACTTGATTAGATATGTGCTATTTTGATTAATGAGTGCTATATAAGTTTTTTCACGATGTTAATATGCCATCACATAGCAATCCCGTGATATTATCATACAATGTTTGATGTAATCTGTGAGAATATATTGCTCATCTAATTTGCACCATTGATTTAGATATTATTTTCACCATCTCAAGTACCATCTGAAAATTTCTACACAGTAAAATTTGTTTGACTTTTAGTTACTAGAATGAAAAAAAATATATGCTTGTACAAATCTACATAAGTATATTAACAACGGAGTACGTCAAAACTGAGTACATATAGCCATAAATGCTCAAAATAATTAAGTTTTTGCATCACTTGTCGATCAAGTTATTGTACCAAAATCACACCCGTCTTTCAAGTATTTGTACCCGTACGCTCATTTATTAAGTTTTTTACTAGGTTGCACCCACTTACCAAGTTGTTATACTAGTATGCTCATTTTTCAAGTTGTTACATTAAATCGCACCAATTTGTCAAGTTGGTAAAACGTGAATGCAATTTACTCTAAATAAATAAAACATATACAAAAGTTTTATTGAACTCTAATTTTAACTTTACGAATTTAAGTTTTGGTTGTGGCTGATAAGCTAATAAACTATATTTTTGGAGTTTCTTTCACTCTTTTTCTGATTCTCAAAGTTTTATTCCGTTCTTAACGAATGAATCAATGAACCGACACACATGCCTTTGCTGCCCTCCATGTTTGATCACCCGATCAAACAAGCTAATCAACACCGTCCATTCCACGCACTGCTCCGGCCTCTGCACCTGCATTTGGGCGCCGCCATGAACGCTGTGATGACATTAACATATCCACTCTGATCTGGAAGGCAGATCAATGTATCAACCACAGTTCAGATCATCTGATTCTTCCGGCAGCAACAGCCGCTAGAGCGATCGAGCGAGCTCTGAACAGTTCTTGATTTTTGGCTGTGATTTGCAGCTGATGCGCTGTTGCTGCAGAGATAGCTAAGCTAAGCTCACCTGACAACTCAGTTGGAGCGAACGAACGATTATGGCAGCAGCTACCGGCAGAGTGGGCACCTAATCATTCGTGATCATGGCAAATCACTGACCTAATTTGTCATCTTGCTTTAACACTATATAAGGTTCTTTTTGTTCCTTTTCTTCTTCTCTTCTGTTTGTTCTTGTTTGGTGCTTAATCAGAGCTTGAAGATTGGCCCATTGCTTCAGCTCTACAAACCTTGTCAGCCTCCAAAGTGTGGATGGATGGATGGATGGATGGATACTTTGGACCTAATGAAATGTTTTAAGTCCTAGAATTAAGCAGTAGTAGCACACTGAAATTAAGTAGGTTTATCTAGATGAAGGTTTCAGAAAATCGGTGATAGCGATCTTTTGTTTATAGTCAAACAAAATGGGAGAGAGATTGCCGGTTTGTGAATCAACAACCCCTTCTTTCGGGATATTGACAATTTGACAGACTACTTTGTTGGTCAAAAATTGCTGGTAAAATAATTAAGATTTGGCCTCCATTGTGCCTGTTCAATCTTATGAAAGTTAGTACTAATATTTTGCTCTCTTCACAATAAAATGAAATGAAATGAAATGAAATGAAATATGTTTTTCCCTTTGCAGAGTTCCAGGTAACCTCTTCCACAGCTCATATTTTTGTACTAATACCAAGGCCCAATCCTATTACCTTTGCAGTAATCTTAATCCACTGATCAGAAGCCCACAATGCAGAGTTTCCCATAACCACTTGTGGCCTGACCGGCTGGCCCCACAGGCCAGAGACTACCAGAAAAAACCAGAAGAATGTTCTTTCACAGTTCCAACACAGTTGCACCACATCTGATGATTCTTCTGAAGATCTTGCACAAGCATAAATTTCTGAACTTGCAGAGCTCAAGCTCAAGCTCTGCTGCTCCTAACTGTCATCAGATTCACCACCCAAATCTCACCAACCTGAACAATTAAGTTAATCTCTACTAGTATAGTTTATATCTAATAGTATATATCTTCTCTAAAGAAAACAAACTTCATGTAATAAAGTAACAACCACTACTACTAATCCTGAATCCCTCTCCCTTCTCTATCACTCTATCTGCAAGCATATATGCTATCCAATCTTGAAAGAAATTCTAGGTTTAAACTAATCTCCAAAGAATAAATGAGATATATATATATATATATATATATATATATATATAGGTTAGCTAAGAGACTACAGGGAGAGCAGAGAGAGTCTTGTTGCGAAGTGATCATGAAGCCGCGTCCGTCTCCGGCGGCGGCGTCTTCCGGCGGCGTTCCGGCGAGGCTCCGGCCGCACCTCACCCGGCTCACCGTGTTCCTGATCGTCTTCTCCGCCGGGTACTCGGTTGGCATCATGTCGTCGTCCATCCGGCCGCCTGCGAGCAAGCCGTCGCAGACGGTCATACGGCCGCGCGCCGCGCACCTCTCCGGCACCGCCTCCTCCACGGATGTCCCGGCGAGCAACGGCAGCGCTGCGGCGGCGGCGAACTACCCGCGCTCGCCGCCGCACGATCTGTTCCGGTTCAGGGAGGAGTGTGGCGAGGCGATACCCAGCGACGCCGTCGTGCGGACGCTCCTCGACAAGCTGTTCGACGGGGAGAGCCCGTACGAGAGCTTCCCGCCGCCGCACACCGCCGCGCTGCTGCACCCGGCTGCGGCGAGGCCGCGCGGGTGGGGCTCGACCGGCGCGGTGTTCGCGGAGCTGATCGAGGAGGTGCGGCCCGACGTCATCGTGGAGCTCGGCGCCTTCCTGGGCGCGTCGGCGCTGCACATGGCGGCCGTGTCCAAGAACCTCTCGCTGTCCCCGGCCATCCTCTGCGTCGACGACTTCCGCGGCTGGCCGGCGTTCCGCGACCGCTTCCGCCGCGACGTCCCGCCGCCGCGCCACGGCGATGCGCTGCTGCTGCCGCAGTTCATGTCGAACGTGGCCGCGGCGGGCGCCGACGCGACGGCGCGGGTGCTCCCGCTCCCCTTCTCGACGGCGTCCGCGCTCGCCGCGCTCTGCCACTGGGGCGTCTACGCCGACCTCATCGAGGTGGACGCCGGCCACGACTTCCACTCGGCGTGGGCGGACATCAACCTCGCCTGGGCCGTGCTCCGCCCCGGCGGCGTCATGTTCGGCCACGACTACTTCACCGCCGCCGACGACCGCGGCGTCCGGCGAGCCGTGACGCTGTTCGCCAGGGTGAAGGGCCTCACCGTCCGGCCGCACGGCCAGCACTGGGTCCTCTCCCCGAAGCCGCCGCTCCGCCGCGACGGCCGGTGACTCCTCGCCGGCGAAAAGCTCGCCGTCGCCGGCGGGGCCACGCACTCGGCGACGTGACGTCGGCGCCCGACACGTGTTCGTCTCAAAAACTCCCAACCACCACCCTTTTTTCAAAGCTCCATTCTTACACAAGAATCAATTCAAGAATTTGGTTCTTCTACTTTGTACTGTGAATTTATACCAAATTCATACACACGAGATCATACGTACTACAATGTATTCAGGTGAGCAGATGACATGTTCTTGTCGGTATTACTTGTTTCATTTTTTTTGTTTATAACTACCTAATTTATCCATTCAAGAGTACATTAATTTCAATCAAACAATTAGGTAAGTTAAATTCTAGTGAGACCAAGTATTTGCCGTTGGTTTCCGTCTCTCTGAATACGTGGGTATTAACGCGTGGTGCATGTACATAGCGGTGCGCGTGCGTATGCGTCTTTCGTGTAATAAAAAAGGTTTAAATCTTTTGCTATGAATGTATCTTGATCAGTATGGGCACAAAAAGCAGGGCCTGTTCTTATCAAAACTTTTTATAAGTGGACAGTGAAGTGTGTGTGTGGGGGGAGAGTTCATTAGCTAGCTAATGACCTAGAGCCGAGAGATGACGATTTAGTTGGTGGTGATGGTTGTGAAGGTGACAGTGATGTTTGGTGGCTAGTGGGAGCAGTCAGTGATGCGGTTTGCGTACCGACCAGAGGAAGAAGATGATGCTGAATTCTGATCGAAAAAGCCATTGGATGAGCAGAGCACTGGATGGATATGGCATAATAGCAGGATGGAGATCGAACAGTGAGTCGGTGAGAGGCACAGTGGACAGTGGTAGGTTGTTGATTGATTGGCTACATCATTATTATAGAGTGATTTGCAAGGTAATTAAAATCATGTTAATCTTAATCATCCCCAAGATGATGTAGAGGCAGCCAATTAATGGAGTGTGCATGGATTACTAGATGCTTATGCATGCATCAAGATTATCATGGAGAGGTCAGAGGTGTTTGCTTTGTGTTGTTTCATTCTTGCTGGAATTGAAACTTGTTTGTTGTTGTTGTTTTATCAAAATTATAAAGGAGAAGTCAGGGCAGGATTACCTCGTCCAGAAGATAATCCTGCCTCTGATAAACATACAAAATTTATATAAAAAAGTAAATTATTTTTGAAATTTATTTAAATTGGTGGGGTTATGTTGGTCTTACCATTATCGGCACTAAGCAAGTTACCATCGGTTTTGTAAATCCTGATCATATGTGTATACTTTGTGTTCTGTCATTCTTGATGGAATCCTCTTCTTTGTTGTTTGTTTTTTCTTCTAAGCAATTTTCCTATCATGAACAAAGTATGGAAAATTTATTAGAAGATACTCCCTTTATTTCAAAATATAAGGCTCAACCACCTTTAATCTAAAAACCAAGAAATAATTATTATCACCTCATAGTTTGAATCAAACTAATAAATATAATGTATGTACCCAATAGAATTAAATCTATTGAGGATGAAGAACTTAAAAAATAATAATTTAATGAAAAAGAAGGTTTAGTTAATAGCATGCATTCATGCATTATATTATGAAACATCTCAAAAATTTTGTTGTGCCTTATATTATGGAATGGAGGGAGTAACAAATTTTGTAATCAAAATTTGATATATACCTCCCTAGGACCACAAAATTACATTTTTTTAGCAGCAGCAGCAGTCATACACTGTCAATCTGAGCACATAAAACTCAGGCACTGTCAGTAAATAATTGTGCATACCTGTTTAGATGTTTAGATGGGACTAAAACTTTTAAGTCCCTATCACATCAGATGTTTGGACACTAATTATAAATATTAAACGTAGACTATTAATAAAACCCATCCATAATCTTGGACTAATTCGCGAGACGAATCTATTGAGCCTAATTAATCCATGATTAGCCTATGTGATGCTATAGTAAACATTCTCTAATTATGGATTAATTAGGCTTAAAAATTTTGTCTCGTAAATTAGCTTTCATTTATGTAATTAGTTTTGTAAGTAGTCTATATTTAATATTTTAAATTAATGTCTAAATATAAAGACTAAAGTTAAGTCCCTGGATCCAAACACCACCAAATGTGCTCCTGCTCCATGTTCTTGTAGTCTGTAGATGAAGTCAGGTTGAAAGTTTTGGTGTTCACATGTCCCTGAAAATCAACCCTGCATTTGTCATCAACTTCGGATGCATATGTCATCAATTTCGGATGGACCATTTGAACGCATTCACATATCAGGAACAGTACAACAACCTGATTACATCAGATAAAACGAACTGGAAATCTCCAGAAATATTTTTGCTGACTCACAGGCGCCTCATTATCAACAAGCACATAAAACCAACCAGCGATCACGACCGGCACACCATCCGATATGTAATCGTCTGTGATCTCCTTTTTTCTCGAGGAGATCAGTTACGATATTGATCACCAGAAGATTGAAGGTAGCATATCTCTATCTCGTGCCAAATCTTTCCCCCTGTGTTCCAAAAGTTCCTGAACTTCTTTTCGGAAGAAATATATACATACACCGTCTGTTCTAAAATATAGCAACCTAATACTTGATTAGACTGTCTAGACTTATACTATTAGATTATCCAGATTTATAGCACTCAATCTAATCAAGTACTTCCTCCGTTTCACAATGTAAGTCATTCTAGCATTTCGAATCTAGACTATCTAGATTCATTAACATCAATATGAATGTGAGAAATGCTAGAATGACTTATATTGTGAAACGGAGGAAGTACTATATTGTTATATTTTAAGATGGAGAGATTAAGTATGTTCATTCCATGGTCCATGAACAGTGTTCCACAAGTTAATACTATGCGTAAACAAACAATCTGTGTTGAGACGTCTAATTGTTGAGATTAACAGGTCTTAATCATGTGCACCACGGAGAGATAGTGTGGGCAGTGTCAGGTTAGCAGGGAGTGAAAATTATCAGTTGACGAGACGGGAAATGGTGTAGCGTCGATTCTGCCGGTTTACGTTAATAGGCGTCGCCTTTGCTGCATTCGGACGCCTCTCGCATCGGCGTGAAAAGAAGCAATCCACTTTTCATAGGGATCGCCATTTGATCCGGTGTAACCGTGACTATGAGCCTCAATCCATGTGCAATTGCAATTTGCTACTAGTACCGTTCAGCAAATTTTTATAAGTGTAAAGTGTACGAACGGTCCTTAAACTTGTAGGGGTGTGTCATCTAGATACCTAAACTCTCAAAATACATATGTCCAAGTTCTAGAACTTGTCATAGCGTGTCATCTAGATCTCAAATCGTTACAACCCCTTTAGGATCCTACGTGGCATTGATGTGACATGTCACACGGATATGACATGGTATTATTTTGACTAACAAATGGGACCCATTTAAATTTTTTCCTTGTTCTTTTTTTTCTTCTCTTTTTTCCTCTTTCTTCTCCTTTCTCTGTGACCCGTGCAGAAAAAAAGGAAAAAAAGAAGAATGAGAAGAAAACGAAAAAGAAAAAGAAAAGAAGGAAAAAAAAGAAAAGAACATGTCATGTCCATGTGGCATTGCCACATCAGCGCCACATAGGATTCTAGAGGGGATGTGTTAATTTGGGACCTAGATGATACACTTTGACGAGTTCTGGGATCTGGATATCCATTTTGAGAGTTTATGGACCTATATGACACAACCCTACATTTAAGGACCGCCAATACACTTTACTCTTTTTATAAATTTGATATGCTTTGCAGTACAGTTAAGCTCATTACTACTCCATTTGAGATGCAAATCTCATTACCCCTCCCTCCATCTGTTTAAAAAAATTCATTTCTAGCCCTTCAGCTTTGTGGGAAAAAAGAGCTCATTTGTACTATCTTATTTTTCACCAGATTGTAAATAAAAAGTTCTCTCTCTTTTTACACCCCTAAACACTTTTCACAATCCTGCTTTTTTAAAAAAAAAAATACTGAATGGCTAAAATGGAGTCTCTCTTGGACGGAGTGAGTACTTACCATATCTAATTTTGGTGCCTACGATGAGCAGGCTGGCTTGCATGTATTGTTATTTGTTAGTTTAGACAATACATGCTATGCAAAGAATTAACACAGTCTCAAGAAAGGTAAACTTCCAACCCAGGTGTAATCTTTATTTCAACAAGGTGAACACTCTGTTCTCAAGTTATCAGGTGAATCAGCTAAACAGTGAACCGATTTTCTGTCTTCTGAACATATGTTGCAACAGGATACCACCTGAACCCTGTATGTATTGCAACTCTTTTTACTCCTCCTTTAATTAATACAGAGGACAATTCGCTTGCCTTTTCACAAAAAAACAAAAAAGGATACCACCAGAACATATTTGGTATAATGAAACAGCCTTTCCAAACAGTCAGATAAAAGACACAGAGGTCCACCTATCAATCATTCAAGACAACTCTAGTGCGCTTCGAACTTGTTCTTCTCTTCCATAATAGACAAAAAGCAAAACTACAACATGATCAAATAATTCCGAGATGAACAAAGGTTCAAACAATCAACGGAAATTACTCGTGTGCGTTGAATTGGTACCTCTCTCCTATCAAAAGAAAACACAGATGAATCTACATTACGACCAAAAGTATCAATATAACACAAATGCCTTGACGTCGCTGATTGCAACTTGGATAAAAAGGTAAAATTTGGATAGGGGGTCCGTGATCACACCATTAATATCCCTTGTTGCCACGTATCCGAGCTCGCATGTCAACCTGTTGTGACAATTAACAGAGTAAGCATTTCCATACACAGATAAACGCAAGAGTAACACTGGAATAAACCTCTACCTCTCAATACCTCAAGGACCATAAAAAAAATCACATCAACGATGTAAGTAGAGAACATTAGACGCATACATATCAATATGGTGTATACAGATCTTAACATGCAATGCAACAATACTGGGCCAGAACAGCCCAAGTAGTCCTAACTCCTAAGCTAGGTAGTATGTCACATTCAGAACTTGTACATGGGTTGATGCAAGGCATATGATTATATTCCATTGGAAGAGAACAAAAAGAGCTGTCCATGAGAACTTGAGAAGTAGGAGTGTCATGATTAATAACATAACCAAAAGTTGCCTATGTTATATAAGGAAAAAGACCAGCAGGTGTTTCAGGTTGGATATTCTGGTTCCTTCCGCTATCACAGGATGCATGGCCCTATCGTGTGGATTGTGATGTTTAAAACAAATCTAAAGGGAAAAAATGGTCACCGGTGTGAAAAAGTTATAACAGTAATCAGGAAAACATTTAGAAGTTGACTTGATTTTCATGTACTCATGTTACCATACTACAACTATATTGCTTTCATCTGAAACAATGGATACACTTATAGCCTTATAGGAGTTACAGAGGGCCTTGATTCTGATTTGTATTCCAAGATCTAGTTTTTAACTGTGCAAGTAAAAGTCAAAGGAGAAGATTAGTATCATCAGGTCAATTCCTGACCACCATTCTTATTCCCTGTCACAGTTTGTAGACAGCCCGGGTTCTTCAAACTTAAACCACCAGTAACTATAAGTTGAGCTATGCCTATGCAATTATAACTATATAAGCTGTATGACTGTAATGCTGTATTGCACTGCAGTTAAGACAACACTGAGCAGCCTAATAACCAAGTAAATGTAACAGCGGAAGGAGCTTAGGGGCCAGGGAATATAAACTCTGAACATTTATCAGTTTACTCACAATAAAAAGCCCATGCTTTTCTTCTCCATACATATATAAAGGATGCAAACCTACTGACATGTAAGATTCACTTTTTTAACCAATGTGAGATCCACCTTTTAACCCTCTGAATCCCTCCAACAACATCCAACTCTGGTTCAGATAAAAACCTAGCCTATCATGTCAAAGCAATTTGCATTGGCACCGCATCAAACTATCAATATAAGGAACACACAGAAAATAAAATCTCCCCCTGGGTTCAGTTCAGGCTATTCGAAGCTTCACCAGGTTTGCCGAAACCGCGCGCGTGTGTTTCTCACCCATGTACACCCTCGAAACGCATCGATTTCAAACAACAACAGTCACTACCAACATATATACAGAATCAGAACCCGCGCTACCGAGGGGATAGATAACGGATTATCTGGTCAATGGTCATTGCAGTTAACCTCACAAGTAACCAATGTGCAAAATGCTACTAGATCGTTCACAGGCCCTCCCAAACACACTCATCAGACAGTAATCAGCAAGCCACACAACCATGGATCAAGAGCACTAGCATAGCTGGTAATTTCTGCAGTGATTGAGAGCAGGTGGAGGAACGCATGCCTGGCCCCTCTTGCAGTTGAAGTAGGTCTCCCTGAGGCCGACGCACTCGCTGGTGATGTTGGGGACCTTCTCCCCGGCGCACTCCTTGTACGGCCTCTTCTGCACCTGCGAAACAGCAAATCGTTCAATCCCCGGCGGCATCAACCCTAACGGCGGCGGCGGCGGCGAAGCCCCCACCTCCCCCCACCGCCAAATCCGATCGAGGGAAACGTTACCTTGACGCAGTCCGTCTCGCTGAGGCACTTGACGAGCTCCATGGCCAAACCCTTGCACGACTTCGCCATCTCTCTCGAGCTCGAGCTCGCTCTCTCGCTTGCGGGAGGGGAAAGGGAAGGGGGGGGGGGGGGGCGGCGGCTTCTCCTCCTCCCGGCGGCCGCGGCCGGCGAGGCGGATTGGGCCGGGCCGGATTCTCGATGGGCTATCGAAGGCCCACACCTGCGACACGAAGGGCGGATCTGGCCCATACTACCGACCTCGGTGGTGGGCCGGCCCAGGAATACTCCCGCATGGCCGTAGCTGCTTTGTACTATGGCCCATGAGAGATGAGACGCCTCCTAAGGTAGAGCTGAAAATACACAAGCAGATATGGTCTCTAAACAAATGGTTCTAAAATTTCAATGCAATTCTGAAAACAAGGATTTATTTCATATGTTATTTTAACTAGAAAAAATGCACGTGCGTTGCGACGGGGGAAGGCTATTTTAGTCTCATTATTATTGTTATACGGTTTAGCTAGGGTGAAAATCATTGTGGCAACTCGCTTGGATATTTTTTTTTAGAAAATCATGAGTTGTAATTAGGAGTCTGACTCTCATCTCAAGTTAGTATGCGAGTTTTTTTAAAATTATTTTTTATACGACTCCTTTTGTATTTTTAAAAGCGCCCCAAATTAACATGCGAGTTTTTTTAAAGAGATTTCTTATAAAGACGCCTTTTTTATTTTCAAAAGCGAACAAACTTAAAAAGGGACTCAAACACATATATGTATTTCCAAAAGTGAATGAACTTAAAACCGACTCAAACACAAATGACCTACCAAAGTATCGGCAAAAACATCTTTAGTTTTTATAATAGTAGAGATTTAAAACTTTGGAAGCTAATTTTATAATTTTGGATTAATTTATAATGATAAAAATAGTAATATTATGATACCATTTCTAGTGATAATTCTGATGATGATGTCATTTTAACGGAACAAATCCAGATATGGCGGCTAAGCCAATGGTCGTATGATCAACATACAATCATATATTCCTATTGGAACTTAATTATATGGAGACTAGCGCTGTCATGTTATTTAAAAAAAAGTTAAAGTGTTCTTAATTGCTACATGATCCATTTGTTAATCCACCACAGTTTCATGCTTTCTTAAAGAATTGTTGCATACAGAGACGTGGAAGCTAGCCAGCTTAACCTAATATATCCTGTGATAAATTGGATCAGGTCTCAACTGCTCAAGGTCAGGGAAGGAGATGCATGTGGATCATCTGTTACAGTGTACTTTTCCAGATTGATTATCAGGAAAAAACACACACAAGTACAGAAAAGTTTCTGTTAGAAGAACATGTAAGTACAGAAAGTAGACTCTCCACATGCATATCCAGATGTTCAGGCATCTTATTTGCTCTTCTGCCACAATTCACAAAGTACAGGCTCATTCATAGAACTTTCTCTCTTTAAAATCGACATGTTCTTCAAAATGCATCCTTTATACTACTTCTATCATCTTTAAAAAAAACTAGAAGTAAATGTGTAGTATTCAGTAATATATTTTTTGATGAGACTATCAATTAATCCAATGTTCATGCATCTATAGTACTTAAAATATTAATAGTGGTGGTATCCATTTTCACAATATCTCTATCACTAAATAACATATGAACCTCACAATTTGTACTATTACATCATCTTCAATAATTCCTCTCCTATTTCACTATTGGTTTTCCCCAAATTTCAAAACCACCTACTTGAAAAAAATATACTACTCCCTCCATCCCAAAATATAAGAATTTTTTTTTACTCTGATACGGTCTCCGAGATGCTACTTTGACCAACAATATTTGTAAGAGTAAGATGTTTTAAATAAAAAGAGTCGCATATTATGATAGTTTGTTTAATAATAAATTTAGTAACATCAATTTTATATGATTGATCTTTTTATTTTTTTTTCTATGAATAGTCAAAGTTAAAAATGTTTAACTTATCACTATACTAAAAATGCTTATATTTTAAGATGAAAGGAGTATTATTTTGACTAAATAAATGCTTATTAATTGATTCACAAAAGGCTACTAAATTACTAATACTCGATCGAAGTTGTAAAGTTTTAGCTTAATGCATGTCTAGAACAATACATATTTTAACATGGAGTTGTACTAAACTAGAGAGATGCACTAACTTGCAAGCACCTACTACATACTTATGACTTATCTTTAATTCTTAACTAATCGATCCATTCTGAGTTCTGATCAGCAAGAGACAACACATGCATCATCAGCAGCAGCAGCAGTTTAGCTTGTCCCTGCAAGTTGAGCACCCTCTGGCTCCTATAATAAACCTTGCAAATTTGCAATTGCAATGGCACATTGGCACAGAGCAGAGAAGCCTCCTCCTGCTCGATCGACCTGCAATGGAAGGGCTCATCCCTTTCGTGTTCGGCGTGATCAAGAAGCGGAGGAGGAGGAGGAGGAGGCCGCCGGGTCGATGCTACGAGCGCCTCCACTCTGCCGGCGGCGGCGGCGGCGGCGTGTATCGGTCGCAGAGCTGCCGGTTCCCTGTCCGTGCTCCGGCCGACGAGGAGGAGGAGCTCGAGCTCTTGTACTACGACGACGGTGGCCGTCGGCGCGCGTCGCCGGCGGGGGCCCTCTCCGGCGAGATGCCGGCCTCGGCGGTCGGCTGCAGCGAGCGCGGGTTCTTGTCTAGGTCGCTCAGGTTCAGCAGCATGCGCGTGCTCGCTTGCGTCTCCGGCGCATGAGAGAACGCATTTGTGTTAATTTAGCAGTTCTTGTACAAAGTACAGAGTGATCAAGTGAAAAATGGAGTGAGATTTATTTTGCATATGCAACTATGCAAGCTAAAATTTCCTTATGTTTTCTTCTTCTTCTAGTTATGTGATGGCGAGGTTAAATTAAGTCCAAAATTGCATTCGTGAGTCGTGACCTGACCTGACCTGATAATGTGAAACAGTGCAAGTGTTAAACTTATAGGATGCACTGTGCCCTCTCCGTTCGATCCAGGAAAATGATAGTGTGATGCTGTTGTTTTTCAGTTTGTGTAGGCTTTTGTTTCGGGTGGGATAATATCTTGGGGAAAGGTTTCGCGTTTAGGAGGGTCAGTGCCGAAAGTCTCTGAGGTGTTTGTAAGGTTTGCAGCAGTGGTCCAGAGAGAACCAGTTTTTGTACCGGCGTCTGTTCTTTTGTTTTGCTTTTGCTGTTTTCTTTCAGCCTTTGTGTAAGACTCTGTATGATGTTATGGGCTTTGTTCCAAAGCCGGGTCAATGAAAAATTTGATCTGATTAAAAAAATCCAGGAAAATGATTGTGGAAAAGTTTGGTTCTTTTCCCCCTCTTCATACATGAATTTAAAGGCCTCTTTAATTGGAAGAAAAATATAGAAATTTTTGTAGGATTTCAATTCTATAGGAAAATTTCCTATGAATCCCTTTGAAACGAAGGATTGAATCCTATCCAATCTTTTAAAATTCCTAGAAAATGAACAATCCTATAGAGATTTTAGAGGAAATTTAGCAACAGCTTCAACCTCTTGGTAACTTTCCTTTGAGTCTATCTCTCTCATCCAATTTATACGTTTTTCTTACGGTTTAATAAAACGGTCATTCCTATATTTTTCCTGCGTTTTACAATCATCTGTTTACATTTACATTCCTATCAAAATTTTAAATTTTTTCTATTTCTACGTTTTCTCAATCCTGTGATTCAAAGGGGCTCAAAGTATTTAACTGTTGTCTGAACTGTAAAATTATTGTGTTACTCACAAAAACTGACAGGGAAAAAATTGTTGTTTTTTTTAATTTTTTTTCTTCTACTGCTACCTTGTTGCATCAGTTGCCAGATGCCAAGCATGCGAGTCACCACTGACACCTGGCCCCGCCGCGCCGCCCAAGAACCTCTCCTTCTTCTCCTCCTCCGGTCCTCCCTGATGAAAAGCGCGTCACTGCAAGCACTGAACCCAAACCGAGCCATGGCGGCCATGGGGCGATCTGTGCGGGTGGTGCTGGACTCCTCCGTCCTCCTCGACCCATCCGGTGTTACAGCGGAGGAGGAGGAGGTGGTGGTGGCGCTGCGGCCTGGGGCGGAGGCGCTGCTGCGGCGCCTGCGATACTCCAATCTCCGGGTGGTATGAAGCGGGTTCTTCACCCCTCTCGATCTCTCCCCTGCGATTTGCGATTAGTACTAGTGGGATGTGGGCAGGGTGTTGGTTACTGGTGATTTTAGGATGGGATTGCTGCAACCTTAGGTTTTTGCTGAGATGATCTGAACATCTGTTTCGGGCTGAATGTGAATGATCTCGAAAAAAATTGGCTAAAGACTCAAATCTTTTTACATTTTGTTTCAGTGTTTACACATGCTTTTGTGTTTGTTTAGCTTCATGAAGTTTTTCCCTATGGAGATTATTTAGGAGGAGGGCATGTTTTGGCTGATCAGATGTGTTAGCTCTTGGCTCAGTAGAATCCATGGCCAATTGCATGCCACTAACTTTATGATTAACGCATATTCCCCCCCCCCCCAAAAAAAAAAAAACTATATGATTAACGCGAACACATCTCATTGAGATTTTTATGATGTCTCCTTGTAGATTTTATCAAGTTCTTTTTTTGAATGAACCGGCACAAAATGATTCACAGCTAATTGTATCATCCTTCTCTTTTTCAGGCAATTTGCCATCCGGAGGGCTTGCCAACTAATGAGGTGCTCTGTTTACATCCTTTCTGAACTTATTTTGCTTGCTTCGTCAATAATTTTACTACTTTGACAGGCTAGCTTGATGAAATGAAATTATGTAAGAGAAAATGGTCAATGTTTGTACGGCTACAATATTGTGTTCTACTGCCATTTTTCTTATCAGATTTACCTTTAAAACAATCTTGTTAAACTTGTGGTTACACGCAAATACTTTCGTAATATATTTCTTAAAGGCACTAGGACAGTAAGAGTGGTCTTGTTGTCTCCAACATCTGTCCTAATAATACCAAAGGTGCAATTTCATAAGATTGAATTGAATTTTATTTTAAAGTAACCAGATAGAATTGAACTTTTAAATGCTCTAGTGGCACCATCTCTTAATCTTCAGAAATGTAGCGTTCTTCTGGAATCTGCCTTTAAACAGTTAAAATATTTGCATTCCGTGAATTCAAAACAATTGTTAACTATTGTGGTGCTTATCTCTGTGTCCTTCCCCTGACATAAAAACCTCTATGGAAATATTGCCTTTAGACAGTTAATGTTTTTTTTTCTGATATAAAGTGACTGCAGTTGAAGAAAAATAGTTTGTGCTTACACACCCCCTCTTTGCTTTTTATTAGTCAGGTTTTCTTGAGAAGACTGCAAAATTGTACTCCTTTGGATATATGCCACTTACATCTCCAAGTGGGAGCAATTTACTAAATGAGTTGATGTTAGAATGGAGTGGAACGAATTTTTGCTTCTATGTGACTTCAGGAGTTCATGAAGGTCTACTATCTGAACTTCAGAATCACAACTGGGAAGTTATTGCCATGGGTAAGCATTAACAATACCGTACTCATGTTCTTAGGAGTTCATTCATCGAATAATGTCCCTATATATATGTTGTGGGCCACTTACTCTCTCTATATTCAGGTAATGAAGATGTCATAAAGAACTCTGGAGTTATACATATTAGCATGCTTCAAGAGTTACTTATCACTTTGGCAACTTCAATAAAAAAGGTTAACTTTTCTTGGCATCAACTTATGCATTTTAGTGGTATAATGCATTTAATTTTAATTATATACTAGCGTTTGTTCCATTTTTATTCAGGAAATAGGAAACTCATCTGCTTTCGTGGTTGGCTATGTTATGAAACAATCCCGTGAGGAAGACTTTGCCAAGGCAATTTTTGTACACTCTGTTACTGACTACTATGTACTGGACCTCTTCTCAAATATCATTTTCTTCACCTTGCTTGCAGAGAGGAGCATTCCCCATTTATCCTAGTAAAAACGATCTTATCTTTGTTCCACTCTCTTTTGAACTTCCCTTAGCTTCTCAATTGCAAGAAGTTGATCTAGTGCTACACAAAATAACTGATGAGATCATCAACATTGATCCAAACTCTTCCATCAGTTTTCCGAAGGGGATTTCATTTTCTCCGGGAATGTCTGAAATTATAAGGTACATAAGAAGATCGAACTGAGAGTTACTGGACATAATGTAACAAGAAATGTATTTACCTTTTAATAACTTGTGATGGAAGTTTGCTATGGTCTTTATATGCAGTGGCTATTGAAGCTATAAATGACAACCAAATGTAGTAGTGTTTCCTTTTTAGCATGGTCTATTTGGCAATGGCTTGATATTTGTTTTGCTTTCAAAAACTATAAAGCTCTTCTGCAGTTCCTTATTTAGTCTCACTACAACTCTCTATGTTAAGCAGGTTTGTAGAAGAGCACTGTGATTTTTGTGTAATTGATCCATTCAAAAATATTTATCCATTGCTGGATCGCATCCAAATTCAAGAAATTCTAATCCGACTGGAAGGACTTAGCGCCGAAGGAAGGCCAAAACTCCGAGCACCATGCTTTTTAAAGGTCTATTTAACTGAACTTACATTCATGCAGAACAATGGATACATTATAATGTCATAAAGAAGAAAATTTGGAGATGCATATATCTGTTCCCTTGCTGTTACTTGAAACTGTCTATTTGCCAGTTACCATCTTTTTCTTCCATCTATATATGTTCCACAATTGCTCATTTAGCAATCTGTACTGTTGATTTCGAATTTATATGTCCTAGATGATTGACCACTTGTGTGATGGCAAATTGTGTTCCCTTAGTGACCTGTTGTATGCTTGGTCCTATTTTGTCATTTCTCCTCTGTTCTGTTTCTTAATTGTTGTCCTATATGTTTTTGATATTTTCCACCCCTCGGTGCTCTTGTGGTGTGGTCTTGATACTTCTGAATAGCATTAGTGTCCTTTGTGATTTGTCAAAGTTTAACTTTGCTAGTTTTCTTTGCTTGACTAGCTATTTTTGTGAAACAGATTGAAAGCTTTTGTGGCAGTGAATTACAGAAACAACTAGCAGAAGCTAAGTTATCCTTTCCGCTCATTGTGAAGCCACAAGTAGCATGTGGAGTTGCTGATGCCCACAATATGGTAACTCTTTGGCTACATTTATTTATATGTACCTATACATTAGTTTTCTATCATATATCCTGTAGTCACCAACATCAGGAAGATGCTTCATATTCTAACTGTGCCATCATTATCAATTTTTAGTTAAGATTTTTTATTGTTTTACTTTTGCACCTGAATTGCACATTTGTTGTGTACAGGCATTGATTTTCAAAATCGAAGAATTTAGCAACCTTAGTGTGCCTCTTCCAGCTATTCTACAGGTACGATTTTGTATCTTTCTTCAGATGATGATTACTTGGAATTAAATCTGATATATATATCTTGGTAAATTTTATATTCTAAAGATAATCAATTCTTCCTTGAGCACTTTGCAACAATTTATTGCTAAGTTCTCGCAACGATTCATTGCAATTTTAACATTTCTGAGGCATCCTATGCTCAAATCGATTCATTTGGACCTTGCTAGTAAGTTACTACGTATCTGTCAATTGCAATTCTGATGACCTGCCTGCTCAAACTTATGCATTTTATTAATGTTATGTAGGAATATATTGACCATGGATCCAAAATATTCAAATTTTATGCAATTGGAGACAAGATTTTTCATGCTATTAAGAACTCAATGCCCAATGCAAGTCATCTTAAATCATCATCAGGAGGCAAACCTCTTACATTCAACAGGTACACTTGCAGAAGTATATACAGGCAAAGTATGATGCCCAATTTCTCAATCAACTGTTATCAAGTATCAACACTGATAGAGTCATATTTTTTATTTTAATTTGGGTTACCACAGTTTGAAGACTCTTCCAGTGGCTACAAAGGAGCAGCTGCTGCAAAACGAGGTGCAAGATAGCAAATTGTTGGACATTAATCTAGTAGAAGAGGCTGCAAAATTGCTGAAGGAATTGCTAGGGCTTACAATATTTGGGTTTGATGTCGTTGTAAGTATTTCTTCTAGCCTTTGTATAACCATGCTTTTTGAGTAAGTACAGCTACTCAGAGGAACAGTAGCATAATTCGTCCAGCTGGAATACCTCTGATTGCCTTCATGCTTAATTGCTCTCGACATATTCACCATGCCAATGCTGATTGTATATGCAGGTTCAAGAGTCCAGTGGAGACCATGTCATAGTGGACCTAAACTATCTTCCGTCTTTCAAAGAAGTTCCTGACAATGTGGCGATGCCTGCATTCTGGGATGCAATCAAGCAGTCATATGAGTCAAGGAAGCAGATGACACAAACTTAGTTCAAGTTCTCAAGCAAATGATTTGCATACAGGCGACAACATTCATACTAATTGGAAAGGGAGACCGCTCTTTGGGATCGAATTAACTCTGACCTCTAGCAGAGGTTGCTTGTCACTTAGATTTGTGGAACTGCTTGCGATGAACATTGCTGGCAGAGATGTACACCTAGCGCTAATAATTTGGGGAACAAAGTCTTTTGTGTTCCCTGAGTTAAAACCCTTAGCAGAATAAGCATGCAGAAGCAACTCTCCCGTGTTAAACTAATTATTCTGTTGTGCAGTGTACCATTTACATGTGAATTTTGGCCACTCTGTAAACACTCTGCTGAAATGAGAAATTGCTTACTGATATGCATACTACTGCTGCTATGGATGTTGAAATGCCATTTCTGTTCATTTCTATTCTTTTACTCTTTGAAAATGATATCAGCATACAGATGAAGCCCTTGAGCTCCTTTTCAACTCATCCCATGGTAGTTAATCAGATGCTATATATTTCTTCAGAGAAGCCTGCTTCTCAAAACTACTAACTTTTCCTGGGAAAAAAAATGCTGGCTGGAAGGGAAGAAGAGAGTTGGAAGCAATTACTATATGGTCCCAGAAAAGTTCAGAACTGAACCTTTTTGTGCCATATGGAGGCCAAGGAGAAAGAAACACTGTAATATTGCACCAAATGGATCATCCACTCTTAACAATATTTTTCTGTTTGGTTTCATGTGCCTGTCCTTTTCACTGACATTTTTGTTACATTTGTATGCATTGTGTTTAGCTCCAGGGATGGTTTCAGGATTGCCAGCACATTTTTGTCCTTGGAGTATTCAGGTAACCTTTTCTGCCATAGGGTGATATATGCTCTGCTCTACCTGCATCTGACCACCTCCATTGTTTCTGCAGCCTTTCCTGAAGTATGGATCGCCTGAAGAGAGTTACTGGCATGGCTAAGGGATTATCAGCTGTTCCGGCTCAGAAAAACGAAGACGAGAGCTTGGTTCTCTTTGGTGAGCTGTACAGGCATGAGAAGGAGAAGGATGTGAACCTCCTTGAACCAATGTACTCAGTGGAGTTCGAAGCAATTCAAGGTGAGAGTTTTGCCTTGTCTTTTGAGTCCTTAACCTGTTCATGCTGGCATGGAGGTGCAACCAATTTTCTTGCTTTATTCTATCACCAGTGCCTAGAGCTAACATGTTAGGTAGGGTTGTTATGATATTTTCACTAGAGTAAATGAGATCTCAAGTTATCGACGCAGCAATTTCAGTAGATGCTGATGAAATTATTGGGGGGAAAAAACCCTTTTTTGCTTGGAAGATGGATAAACTGATTGGACTTATTACCTACTTTGGTTGACCGAATATAGGAACCAGTCGTATGTTCAAGTTACCATCAGGCAAGAAAGATTACCTCCTACCAGATGGTGGAAAGCACGATTACGACTGGTAACAGTAAAATTTGCTCAGTGTTTAAGATGCACCTAGTCTTTCCATTGTGTTCTCGAATAATATCAGATAATTTCAGGCTCAAGACTCCTCCAGCTACTCCACTGTTCCCTTCCCTCGAGATGGAAGCTAATTCCTCTCAAATGGTTTTTCAGAGAGAATTGCCTATCCTTCAGCCAGTTAAAACTTCAAGGGTATGACAACTATCTGCACTACTAATTGACTGTAATTTACCATTCACAAGTTAAAAGAACCATTAAATTAATCTTTTGGTATGATAATATTATCTGAAACTGTTACATTTAACATGTTCAGAATAATTCCTGAATTGTCCAAACCAGAATTAAAAATAATAATCTGATTTTCGTAGAAGCAGTAAAAGATTTCCTTTGCAAAATGATCCTCCGTTTTCCTTGATATTACTGTGACATTCTGAAACTTCAACAGTTCTCAATCAAGCCTGAACCAACAAGCACATCAACAAGAACTGAATCGCCTACCTCCAGCTCCTCAAAGTCTGCTACTCCGACGGCAAGATCCAGTAGCTCTTCATCAAAGAAAAACTTCACCAAAGGAGATCCTGCTCTCTCTGAAGTGACCACAGCTTACAAAATGGACAAGAGATCAAGCTACACTCCTCTGAAGAACATACAACAACTTGCAGCTCCAACAACTAAAAGTACAGCAGCCAGCAAAGCAGCCAAGAAAACCTCAGCCAGCAAGAAGCCTGAATTCCCAGGCAGCACAAATGCAGTAAACAAAATGGCCAAACTAGGAATCCCCGACAAGCCGCTGAAGAAAACCACAGCGACTGCACCGAAAGCTCGGTCCAAAGATCCCGCAATTGGTATGAAGGATCTGAAAATGGATGCTGGCACAGCAAGAAGAATGCCATGCCCACCTGCTGCAACAGTGGGTAGCAACAATGAGCTTAACAAAGTTGCAGGGAAAGGAAGGAGAAGAACTGGAGGTGAGCCTGCTCCTGGCAATGGCAGCCGTGCCACTGAAGCTACTACAAATGGAAGGAGAAGAGCAGTTGCTGAGAAGGAGCATGGACAAAGGCTTGGAAGCCTTGCAAAGAAGTGAAACAGAAATATCACCATTCTATCCAGAGCACACTTAACTTGAATGTTTTTTTCTCGGTTAATGTTTGTGTTTATGGGGTTTTACCAATGCTGAATGAACACTCTTCATGTTGAGGAGTTTAATCATCTTATGAGTACGAGTTGCAGAAACATTGAAATTGTTCATAGATTTGGGAAATCACTTTGTTCATTTCTACGGAACAGAGTTAATCCTGATTGAACCAACCAACACGAATTTTTCTGCTCTCTTATAATGCACTGATTTCCACAGTAAAAAAATCATTTGGGTTTTTAATGCTAAACATTTCACTGAACAGCCTGCAATGAGCTAACATAAATACTGAAAGCCAAGTATACAGGCAGGAATTGACACTTGCAAACGAAAGCAGTGAGCAACTTGGACTTGTCTAACGCATAATTCGGACTCCAATCAGACACCGCATTCTTCAACCTACGCAAACCTGCAAGCTGTGCCCTTTATCACCGTTTCGTCTACATTTTTGTCAAGAATTCTCTTCCACAGAAGCACACTAGCCATACATTGCAGAACTATGACCATCTTCCTAACCTCAAGTGATCAAAGTCTAATCTTCAGGTTGACAATTCATGCTTTGCATGGTCAGTGTACAATTGCTCTACGTGATCCCAGCTTCTGAACAAAACAGTGGGAGCATTTCTTCAGACGTATCAGTGGCTATGGTCAACAAGGTTACAAAGTTACTGTCACATCAATGCGTGGCAGCATTAAGCAGCGCCGGTTTTCTGCAATCAAGTGTCCAAAGTTTAGAATAGTCTTCGCCTGAATCATTGTTTGTTTCTTGATCTCATAAGCATACTAGTCTCAATGGTCCCGAACCAGAACAGAAATATCTTGGGAGGTGCAGTAAGCATGCATCACTTTCATTTTTAGCTCATGTAGCAGCATCAGTGACAGTACAACTTTGACAGAAAATGGCAGTTTATTCCACTATCTATACTAGTATAATTGCATGGTTTTTCATTATCATCATCCACAGATACACATTGGTGAGCATTAAGAGTACATTCTGCTTTACCAATACTCCTATGATGCCTACAAAAAAGTGGCTGCTTCAAAGTATCACCTGGAATCTATATAGTAGCAAATGCAGTGAGATGGATGGCCTCCTTTCTCTACACAAAAGGAGGCTTCAGTTGCACAAAGCTGCCATGTTCTAGGCCTAAATATACTTTGTGAGTCAAACTCCGCTGAATGCCATGGAGTTTCATCAGGCAAACGGGCTTCGATATATACAAGACTCGACCACAGGTTATATTGTTATCCTAAAGTGCATAGATCTTCTTGTATTCGTTGTTCAGTAGCTCTGTATCCGAATCGACTGATATGGACCACGACTGGCTGGTGGATGACCTCCTGATCTTCTTCATGTTCTTCTCCTCCATCCTGTGAGCGATAATGCAGTAGCACATGGACCCAAGGGTGGCCAGCATGATCGCGGTGCCGATTGCCATTGTACACCAAGCTAGCCACCGATCATCACGGCCCACGACGACATATGTTAGTGCTATGAAGGCTGCTGAGATGCAAAGGCATGCCATCCACATCAGCTTGTTCATCACAAAGACCATCTTCTTCTTGGCTTTCTGCTCAACAACAATTAGAGAGGTCTGGACAACGACGACGGCAAGCGAGATAAAAAGAGCCAAGGCATCAAATACCAAGAAGATTATAAATGCCGGATTGCTTGCTACAAATGCTTGCCCTAAGGTCATGTTGGGATCATGTGGATCTTTCATATCTTCCAGAAAATTACCAGGGATAGTAAATATGGCTGCAAAGGCAACTGTGGCAATAAGCACCGCAACAACAGTATTGGAGTTGATGGCATTGTTTAGCCCACCAATGTGAAGCTTTTGAATCCTCTTCTTGATTTTTTGGAATTGCATCTTGGTCTGACGTGTTTGCTTGATCCCAGATTGGACGTCATGCCTAATGTCGCTAACTGTCTTCTTAAGCTGCTTTGCTGAATTCGGAGGGTTTACTTGCTCTTTTGCAGTTTCACCACCAACCTCTCTCAGGATGTTAGAAAGTTCTTCATTACCTAGTTTCTCTGCAATAGCAAAAGCAGTCTCTCCTGCTCTATTAACTGCATTGATTACGATCTCTTTGACTGATATTAGAGTCTGGACTATCTGGAAGGAATTACACAAATATTAGCAAAGGTACAAGTAAGAACTGAAAATGATTTGAAATGCTAGGCACATAGGAGTACAATATTGTCCCTCAACATTCTGGTTAAAAGATTTTAGAAGTCATGGTTTTACTAAGCTCCACAGTTTTTTCACTCCTCCTTATTCAATTTATTTTATTCCCGAAACAAATTTGAGTTTTCTATTACGGAATTCCTTTATAGAACATTTAGTATTCAGTGAGCAGATGAACTTCTGTTTCCAAATTTTCATGGCCAACGTGAGTTCAACCAGAAATAAGACAAATGACGAAAATATTAACATTTGTAACATAACGACCAAAAATATGGCAGAAAATAGAATATTTCACCAAGATATTATCACTTACAACGGTGTTGCCCTTCCGAGTTGCAACATGCAATGCTCTGTTCCCTTTGTTATCTTCCACATGGATAACTGAGAGATCAGGCTTCAACAATTCAAGCAGAATTTCAGCATTTTGGCCTTTCGAAGCCATGTGCAGTGCTGTTTGTCCTTTCTTATCTGTTCTAAAACCAATCCCTGGATCTTTATTTAACAATGCTGTTACCACCTCCACATGACCCATTCTTGCTGCTGAATGCAAAACTGTTTTGCCATTATTTCTAGCTATTCTGGCTAGGCTTGCATCTGTTTCCAGCAGAAGATTGACAATATCAATATGGCCCTGAGTGGCAGCAGTATCCAAAGCAGTGGCATTTACGGAATTTGTTGTCATAGCTAATGCTGGAAATGCTTGTAAGAGCTCCTTCAAAACATCTGCAAAGCCAATAAATGGAATTTCTCCATGAGCCAGAGATGCTTTGACAAATCAATCTAAACAAAACATTGTGCTAGCTGAGTAAAATATAAGCATTGTCTTATTTCTAACTCAGGGATAAAGACATATTTTTGGAAGATCAAGCACTTTGTTATCACTAAATCTGTGTTAGAGGATTAGCAGCCAGTTAGCCACTGCATCCTTTCGGATTGGCAAATCTGTGATTATTGCAACACATCACAGACTAGAACTGTCAATGCATTCGCAATTTTGGTTACACTAAGAAAAATAAACATGTAGTAATAATTTAGACCAAATCAGCCAAGAAAAATTGCTACAAATTAAGAGTGCAGTTGCAATAGTAATGCATGCCCTTCAGGAAATAATTGGGAAATATCCTTGTGCAACTATATGGATTTGGATAAGTCAATCCAAGACAAGTAGTTCGACATAGACAACTGTGAGCACAATCAAACCAATATGCATAGTTCAGCTCATATAATACCCATATGCTTAATAATTTCAATTGACATGAACCTATCAGCAGGAACTCATTGACTTGGCATGACTTATAAGGATCAAATAAACAAACCATCATTTTTGGGGGCATAAAGATAAATGAATCACTAGTGATGAAGAAAAGAACTAACCCAGATGGCCCTGCTTCGCCGCAATATGGAACGCATCGAAACTGTTAGTAGCCTTGAGCCCTGCTGACTGCAGATCACAAAACTTCAGTATCTCACTCACAACCTCAGTGTGCCCCTTCTCGGCAGACACGTACAGCGCGGTTTCGCCGTCCTGGTTCTGACGAGCAGCCAATTCCCCCACCAGCTCCGGATCACTCGCGGCGAAGATCTTCTGAACATGGGGGACACTGCCAGCCCTTGCTGCAAGGTGGAGCTCGGTGTCACCCCTCTTCCCAGGGCTGTCCTTGTTCCTCTTGAAGCTCTGCTGCTTCTCCATGGACAGGAACTTGAAGCTTCTCTGCTTCTCTATCCCCCGGAAGCTCTTCAGCTTCTCCAGAGCGCCGAGCCGGCTGCTGGATTGCCTCTCCATCCCCCAAATCCAACAAACTACTGTTCTTTCAGTTCGATGGTGTTGTGAATTTCAAGTCCAATGCAAGATCTTGTCCCTGAGAAGTCTAAGAACCCAATACTGCCTCCACTTTGGCAAATTCAGCTCTGGTTGTTGCAAAATATCACAGTCTTCGGATTGCAGAAATATGCACCGAGATTTGATCTTGCCCCCCTCTCCTCACCACTGGAGCTCCTTAGGTTTGGCTGCTTGGAACATCAAACTACGGGAAGCTCTCAAATTTCTCCGTGAAAATCATCTGCCGCGTCAACAGGAACCAGGCCAAGACGGGAGATTTTGGAACCGCGTGGCTCCGTACTTCCCTCGAGATTACCGACCACTTCTCAAACTGCAAAAAGGAGGATGAACTTGATCAAGATGCATACCATATTTCCCCCATGATCCCAACACAAAACTGAAAGATTGAACATAAAATGAGTAGGCTTGAATCACAAAATCGGAAATGAAAGAGAGAATCGCGCACACACACACACACACAACACTTGTGCCCCCAACAAGCAACGAGTATGAACAGAACCACTCACCACAAGAAGCGCATGGAGAAAAAGGAAAAGAAAAACACACCCAAGAACTGGATGTAGAACCAAGAATCAGATGAGCAGGAAAACCTAGCGCTCCCAGAATCCCATCTTTCTTTCTCGCAAAGAAAGAAGGAAGGAACACGAACCAAGAGAGAGGCCAAGAGAGGAACACGAACACAGTAGCAGCAGTAGTGGGTGTCTTGGAAGTTTGGACTCCTCTCCTTCTAGCTTCTCTCTCTTTTCAGTTGGTCCCCTCTCTCTCTCTCTTTCTGTGGCCTGGAAGAAGCTCACTGCTGTGGCTGCTGCTGCTGCTGGTTAGGTTGATTCCCAGTGCTCTTCCACCACCATCTCGCAGTCGCAGCTTATCATCATCGGAGACGACGACGACGACTGCGAAACGGAACGGAGGAGGAGGCCACACACGTTTGGTTGGTCTCTTTGCTCTTGATTTTTTTTCCCTCGAGGGAATATTTGTGCGACTTTGCGGTCCTCGCCCTTTTGCATTGCCTTTTTTCTTCTATAAAAAAGACAACTTTACCGTCTTCTTTTTATATATATAGTTTCCAATTACCCTTTCTGATGGCCCTTTTTATTTCCTTGGGGCTGTAATTTGTACATTTTTGGATCGTTTTTCAGAAAAACTAACGGAATGAGTCGTTAGTATTACTACTTTTCTTTGCATTTTCTACATGTCAAAATGGGATCTTTTCTTCATCGTGCTATACTTGGCTTATCCGAAGATCATCTGTTTGAGTCACGGCTGAAAAAAAAATCAACCAAAAGTAATTTATAGGTAATTATTTTATTTGTATCGTTAGCATTTAAAACCAAATGTTGGAAAATAGGTTTCGACGAAAATATTACTCTCTAAATATTAAGTTTGAACATTTAAATATTGGCTATTGTTGATAAGCCAATCAGCAGAGAACGCGTAACAAGAAGCTGCTTCATATTTTGCGGTCAAGAACTAAAGATTAATTTAGAAACATGTGCCGGAATCAACTCTTAGGTTAAACAAGAATTGGTAGGTTTTTTTTTTTTTTTTTGCATTGTGCTTGTTTGATTTAATATTTGTTTGGTGATGCATAAAAAATGCATCAGGGGGGACTAGTTAGTGGCACATGCATGTTGTTGCCTTGTGTCTTTTGGATTACGGCGGCCATGGCTCTCTACATCACCAATGTGAGCAAGCAAAAAGAAAGGCGCGCATCACAGCAAACCCCACACGTTAAATCCTGACAATGACGTTTTGGTTCCAAACACCCGGGCCCACATGTAGTAATAAACTCCATGGTCCGTAGTGTGCTGAGAGCCTGAGAAGTGAGATATGGTCTCCTCCACTGTAAATTCTTTTTTAGGCTTTGTTTAGGTAAAAATATGTATTCCCTCCGTCAAAAAAAAATATACTCCCTCTGTCAAAAAAAAAAAAAGATGAATATATGACTGGATATGACATATTGTAGTACAACGAATCTGGACAGATATACTCCCTCCGTCCCAAAATATAAACATTTTTAGCTATGAATCTGGATAACTATGTGTCCAGATTCATATCTAAAAGTTGTTACATTTTAGGACGGAGGTAGTATGTCCATATTCATTATATTAAGATGTACCGCATCCAGTACTAGGTTAGTTTTTTAAGGGACGAAGGGAGTAAGAGATTTTGGATAGATGTGACATGTTCAGATTTATAATCCTAGAATATGTTACATCCATCCAAAATCTCTTATATTTTAGGATGAAAGGAGTATAAGACATTGGTCATGTTTATAGAACTAGCCAAAAGTTATTTTGAGAACTATTTTTTAGCAAAGAAATAGCCCTAAAATAAAATAGCCCTAAGTTGTTTGGATCATAGGGTTGTTTTGAGAGCTATTTGGTCTTTAATGTACCTTCCCATGGAGAGAGAAGACATTTTTTCAGTGGGCCTCACCCGAAATAGCCCCAATTACTCAATTAGCACCCCTTAGGTGGGATAGTTTTGGGATGGGTTATTTCCAAATAGCTCTCAAATAGCTCACTATTTTGGATCTTTTTGGGCTATTTGGACTATTTGAGGAAGGACTAAAAAATATCCCTTGGATCCAAACATGGCCATTGATTATTATAGTACTTTCTCTGTCTAAAATAAGTGTAGCTGTTTATAAATTTAAACTACACAACTATAATTATTTTTGAATGGAGAGAGTAACGATTGTGTGTATCTAAGCTATCTAAAGGTTCGAAGTACCATTACCTTAATATAATTCACTGAGTTCTATAAAAACTTTCGTTACTAAAAAATCAAAGTATAACTGTTTTATTTTTCTTCTGGGTTCACTAAAATCGTCATGTTCCAAAAATCCAAATGACGTGTATAGGCATCCAAAAAGATAGCAACAGGTCGATCGGCTGTGCTTTTGTTTCGGTGTTGAAGAGATCAAAGATTAGGACAGGGCGAGTTGCATTTATTAAGAAAAGATCAGATGGCCGTACCGGTACCAGTGTCTACAAACCGCCGAATCCACCTCAAGATTCGCGCTAGCTGCTGTGTTAGGTAGGAGTAGCGCTGATTAAGCTAATCTCTTTTTCATCATACATCTTCTTGACCTGGTTTTTAGCCTGACAGTGCAAGTTCAGTGATCAGCAGGCAGCATGCCAACGGCACATCAGTTCGTTCTGCAGTGTACTCTGGAGTGGAATGGAATGGCTGTACCCTTAAACGATGTGATTACACACAAACTTTTCATATAAAATTTCTTAGAATACTACTATTTTAAATCCATATTTCAACTTTATAAAAATTAATCATTCGTTTATACCCTCGAGTAATTATCATAAGAGATTTTTTATGGTCCAGCAAATTGTACCGCTCAGTACTGGTACCGCTCGGTACCAGTACGCATGTACCGTTCGTTCTGGCATGGGTAGGATCGGAAGAGAGTGGCGCCGGCCATGCGTTGAAGCAATCAAGTGGCGGCGAGCGGCGGATTCCGGCATGCGTTGAAGCAGGCCGCAGCAGCGGCAACGAACTCGTCCTTCCTAGCGGCAGCGGTGTTGAAGTAAGCGGCGGCGGTAGCGAACTCGTCGTTCCCGGTGGCGGCGGCGTCGATGTCTTCCTTCCCGGCGGCAGCGGCGTCGATGTCGTCCTTCCCCGCGACGGTAGCGGCGGCAACGTTGAAGCAGGCAACGGCAGCAGCGAACTTGTCGTTCCCGGCGACGGTGGCGGCGTCGATGTCGTCCTTCCCGGAGGCGGCGGCGGCGACGGCTGAGTTCACCTCCAAGAGTCGGCGGCGTCGATCGATCAAGAATCCCAGCGCTTCTAGGGTTCGAGCTGCCCGTCCATCCCTCCCGATCCGGTTATTGCACGCGAAATTACGTTTTTGCCCTTCCACCTCAGTTCTCCGCGTGGTACTGCACAGGGACAGAATTGGTACCGCCCGGTACCAAACTCTACCAGCCGTTAGATCGGGCCAGATCCAACGGCCAGGATTTTGGTACCGGGCGGTACCGGTACCGACCGCTGTACCGTAACAACGCTCTTATCATAAACCATTCAACTATTTTCAGCATCTCAATCCATTCAGTGTAAAAGAAACCCTAAGGGTGTGTTTGGATAATGGAAATGTAGGGTGGGATTGGGATTGGGAAATGAACGAAGGGTTAGGATTAAATGGAAGAGGGAGAATGAACGGTTAGGATTTAAAAATATCTTTTAGTGGGTGGGAAATGATTTCCCTTTCCCATTAGCCAAACGGGGCCTCAAGTTCTTTGCCTATTGAGCTGATAGTCTGACAATCTAACGAACAGTTGTGATATGGTTACTGTAGAAAGATTTTTTAGATAATGGAATAGAGCATCCCGGCCTTTGCTCAAAGAGCTACAACCAATTATTACAATGTCACACTCAAAATGAGTGAAGTTAAAGAAACTTAAAAGATGAAATCAACCATCAAGAAGAAACAACCTAAAGACTGCCAACCCAAGATAAAGAGTACACAATTATTGAATTCTGTTTGTGAACCTCCATCCAAAATTGATAAAAAGTTGCATAACCGTTGTCTCAAGAATACGGCATGCAGCCTTTAAAAGCTCACTATTTTCCTCACACTTTTGTAGTTGTGCCCAAGACCGGAGCCAATGCTGAATTCAACCTGGTTTCTGAAGACAACCAATGTTACTACATGTCTGATGATAAGTTGCGATCACCTGTCAAATACTCCCTCCCATACCATACCAAAGTTCAGTTCGTATAATGGAGGACCAAAAGGAAGGAATTGAAAGGTGGTGCTTTGTTGATGCTTCCAACAGTGATATTGTACTTAACCCAAAAAAGAAGATCATCTTCTCCAAAGTAGCTTTTATTCAGAATACCTCAAAAGAAAAGGTGAGGCCCCAGAACAGTTTGTTTCAGCAGAATCTTTTCTAGACCACACAAACCTAGTCCAAATTCCACATGCACTCGCACCAAATCTGCACTAACACCACTACAAAAAGGGAAACGCTGCAAAAAAAAGGAGGATTTAATTTCAGACTCCTTTTTTCTGAATCATACACCAACCTACGCGTTGGTCAATTCAGAACGACTCGGCTAGCTAGCCCCTTTCTGCGAGCTTGCTTTGGCTGTGGATTGTAGTGGTAGTAGTGGAGTGCACTGCTGGCTCGCTTTGCTGTTTTTATCTCTTGTGGCACACAAGTGGATTGGTGATTGGTGTGGCTCTTGTTTTTCTGATGCTTGCAAGGCAGCAGCAGCAGCAAATGGTTCTTCAGATTTCCAGGTCCCCATCACCACACCCATTCTGCATAAATAGAATCGTAAAATCAGACACCTTAATTAAAGATCATACGAAAGAATCAAGATTTTGACAACCTTATTCCTAAATAGTTATTACATCATATGAACAACTGATGTACCTTCAGAAACTCTGCTTAATCACTGCATCGGCAGCAACCTCAGGTGCTTAGCAATTCTACTTGCCGACAGAGTACTCGTACCAGTACAAGTGACAGTAAGCTTGTGGCGACATGTGTAGAGTACAGCTCGGTGAGATACTGATGTGATCATGGACTGATGCAGTAGCCTTGCGACCATCAGCAATATGGACAAAAACGTTTTCTCCCTCGAGGGCACTGACGTCTCACACTCTCACTTCGTTTCAGCGCCTGACTTTGTGATCGCCTTGACCGCAAGATCGTCCTTTTTGCCTGCACTGTTCTTCCTCACTGCCACTGGCAGGTCAATATTCTTCTAGAACACACACACGTCAGGAAATCAGCATCTTCAAAAAAAAAGACAAAATAAGGACTTGTGTTTTCAGTCAAGGCCTGATGATGGCTGTGAGAGTTTTCAGACGGATTGGTTGACCGAGATTAAGATTAGCCTGTGTGAGCAGATGAGCCAAGCAAGATCAACCGATTATTTAATCGAGTTCTAGTGTAGTTATTGGAGATATCGATGTCCGTACTGGATGATCTTGACCTGAAACTGCAACCAGATGATCACGGCGACTCTGCGAGACTGTGAGCTTTTTTTTTTTTTTCTCTTTTGATTCGGACTGCGAGCTCATCGAAGCCACAGCCGATTTGGGCCTAAATGAAAAATGGGCCCAGGCCAGAATGAAAAATGGGCCTAAGACCCCAGTACAGTATAAATGGGCCAAGTTAAACTTGGGCCGTACGCGAAATGGGCCTACTTGCGCGGAACCGATTCCAAGGCACTGCTTCAGGTCCTTTTCCCCTGAAAATGATTCAGAGGCATTGCACTATTTACAAAGCCAGATTATTGTTTTCAGATTCTGTACAGCCAATGGTTTGTGCTCTACGATTGTTGGACAAGTCTGTAGCATTTTTATTTTGTGATGTTTCTGCGTTTTTAAGTCGAAGAAGACGTGGAATGTGACTTGCGTTGCAGCCATTTGCTAATGTAGCTATTCAAGGTTTGGGCCCTTCATTTTCCCAAAGTTAACAGAAGGAACCAAGGAGAAGGATGTACCGTAATACCCTCCACATGTGTTTATAGCTAATTTATAGTATATAGATCTGCCACTGATCACAAGTCCTCGTTTGGAATGGAAAACGTTCGGCCTCATCTTTTCACTTATACTCATGCTTATCATCTAAATTTTGAATTTTTAACCTTAAATTTGAAGTTGATTTTAAGGTTTTCTCATCGAAGTTTATTTTTCAGTCTTTGTTTTTAGATCGCTTTTAGAACGTGTATATAAAAGTTTTATTTATAAATTATTTATTGTTTTGCAAATATGCCATTTCGCTTATTCTCCGAATAAGTGAAACAATGGGACCGATTCTTCCTTGTTTGGAACGAAATTTTTTTGCAGGAATTGAACTAATTCCTGTGAAATTTCTTATGTTTCAAAGGGGCTTGAAACCCTGATAATTTCTAAAACACCATCATTTTGAGCAGAGTTTGGTGAGGAACTCGGAAATGTTGGTGTCGGAGCTGCCACCTTGGCTCATGGCGGCCCTCGCCATGGCGCTCCATCGCGCGGCGTTCGTCCTGAACTCCATGCCCGTCTCCCCGTCCATCACCCCCGCTACGCACCTCGCCACCTCCTCCTTCCTCACCACCCCCTCGCCGTCCGCCCGCGCCCGCACGCCGACGCGCCACGCCTCCTCTACGTACCTGGCGTTCGTCGGCTGGTCCGACCACTGCGCCACCGCCACCATCGGCACGCCGGCGCTCACCGCCTCCACCGTCGAGTTCCACCCGCAGTGCGTCACGAAGCACCCGACGGCGCCGTGCGCCAGCACCTCCAGCTGCGGGCACCATGGCACGATGAGACCTGTCGTGTTCTTCGCCGCCGTCTCGCCGGCGAAGCCGTCCGGGAGCTTGCCGGTCTCCGATGACCTCACCACCCAGAGGAAGAACCTGCCGCTGTCGCGGAGCCCGTGCGCGAGCTCGGCCATCTGCACCGCGCTCGGCGTGGCGAGGCTGCCGAAGGAGACGTAGACCACGGAGCTCGCCGCCCGCTCGTCCAGCCACGCCTTGCTCTCCGCTGCCATCGGCGTGTGGAGGTCGAAGCCGTACGACGCATCGCCCGGGAGACGGCCATCGAGGTACGCCGACGGCACGGTCGGCCCGACCGTCTTGGCGCCCCACGTCGCCGCCATGTACTCCGCTTCCTGCCAAGTTGATCTCACGCTAAGCTTAAGGCCCTGTTTAGTTCCCAACAAAACTTTTCCAAAAAACATCATATCGAATCTTCGGACATACATATATATATATATATATATATATATGAAGCATTAAATATAGATAAAAAGAAAAACTATACACATATAAATCGTGAGACGAATCTTTTGAGCTTAATTACGGTATGATTAGCCATAAATGCTACAGTAACCGCATGTGCTAATGACGGATTAATTAGGCTTAAAAGATTCATCTCGCGGTTTCCAGGCAAATTATGAAATTAGTTTTTTTATTCATATCTGAAAACTCCTTCCGACATCCGGTTAAACGTCCGATGTGACACACAGAAATTTTCATTTCACCAACTAAACATGCCCTAAGTCTTAAGATTGTATTAGATTGTATTAGGCGTGTCAGTGTCACCTTTGGCTGTAGCTCGTGGAAGGAATTGACGAGGACATGGTCGGCCACCTCGAGGCCCTGGCACTGCCGCAGCAGGAGGTCAAGGTAGGCGGAGCGGCCGGCCGCCGGCGCGGTGAGGAACGTGGGGAAGTCGGCCGGCTCGAGCTCCGGGGGCACGCCGGGCAGCGGCGGCGCCGGCGCCGACGTGGGGAGGGGGAGCTCCACCCTCCCCGCCCACGCGTGCGCGTACGCCACGTTCACCGCGCACGCCTGCGTGAAGAACGCCGCGCACGACGCGCCGTGGCGCCGCGCCACGGGCGCCGCCCACGGCAGGAACGCGTCGTACACCACGGCGCGCACGGGCCGGCCCTCGCCGGACTCCCCGCGGAGGAGCTCGTCCAGAGTGGCCGACCCGGCCGACTCGAGGCGGGACAGGTAGGCGCCCTCGTCGCCGAGCTCGTCGTAGCCGCGGGCGTCGCAGCCGTCGGAGTAGGTGGCGACGTGGACGCCGCCGCCGCCGCCGGGGGACGGCGGCGCGCGGCAGCAGGAGTTGAGCAGGGAGCGCGTGACGGCGAGGGTGCACCGGACGCGGCGGTGGGCGGCGAGGCGCTTGCCGAACTGGAGCAGCGGGTTGACGTGGCCTTGCGCCGGGTAAGAGAGGAGCAGCACGTGGACGCTGCCATCCGAATCTGCCATTGTCGTGCGACTTGTTTCTTGCATCGGTGCACTGCAGCACTGCATTTATAGAAACTGAAGAGGTTGTTAGTCAATTTTTTGGTGTCACATCGGACGTTTGATCGGATGTCGGAAGTGTTGTTTGGATACGAATGAAAAACTAATTTCATAACTCACCTGTAAACCGCGAGACGAATTTATTAAGTCTAATTAATCAGTCATTAGCACATGTAGGGTACTGTAGCACTTATGGCTAATCATGGACTAATTAGACTCAAAAGATTCATCTCACAATTTTCATACAAACTGTGCAATTGGTTTTTCATTTTATCTATATTTGATGCTTTATACATGTGTCCAAAGATTTGATGTGACGTTTTGGGGAAAAAATTTAGGAACTAAACAAGACCTTATGTAATCTCTGTCTTAAAAAAGACTAACCTTGATGTTGTTCAGATTCGGTGTTCTAGGTGATATCAAATTCTCACTTAGGTTATTTTTTTACAAAGGAAGTACCAATGAATAATAGGGATTTTCAAAACACCATGTGCAACGCGAAGTCATCGTATCTTAACTGATTACTCTATGTGATGTGATTGTAAAACGTGTCCATTCAGATTCGCCATGTGATAAAGAGTGCGTACGTTTATTGGGACGAGTACATGTAAATATATGAATATTATGCTTACGTAGTGTTTTTCGAAAAAAAATATGATAAGCAAAACAAAACTCATATCGGGTTTGAGATAGTATTTTGATTATGTAGTGTGTTTCGAAAAAAATATGATAGGCAACTGAAATTCATATCCGGGTTGAGATAGCTGGAACTGGTAGTCGGTAAATACACAAAATGTATAATTTAGGAGTTTTAAAAACGTGCAAACGAATATACAAAATTCGGAATCAGAAAAGAAGGCCTCAGTATTATCCGTAACCAACAAAATCTTGTAAAATTTAGACGGATTTTACTAAATTTTAAATTTTAGTTTGATTTTTTTTTTAAAAAACTTGGTTGTTTTATCAAGTGGTTTCAAAATGTACAATGGCTTGATCACTGATCAGATCGATAGCCGCTATGACCAATCGAGCAGTTATCGGATGATCAGCAACACTAGGGTTCTAGAAAAAGGTTTGATTATGAAATATGAATGGCATTTTGAGAATTAAACAAGCAACAAGGAGACTAAATTTTTATAATTAGCGCGGGAGTAAAAGATTTTGGTGGAGCATCAATCTCAACAAGGGTAAACTTTGTTAGACTGGAGTATTTAGTAACTTCCTAAAATCCTGTATATTATTTCTATAATTAAGCCGGTGGTTGAGATTATTTGGGAGGATTATGCCTATTATTGAACTAATCGCTTTGATTCGATCAGTTATCACATGATTACTCTGCTAATATGATACGAATACTATAGAGCAACAGTTCATAAAAAACAAAGAGGCGCGCCATCTACCTCAATGCTGACCAGCTGAGTTTCTCAGCATTGTTCAAGGTGATATATGTCCATCATCGAGACGTACTCCAATCTCCTATATATTCGATCACTTATTACTATTGTTCAGTATTACTTGTCTTGCACTGGTGCACTACAGTACTGCATTTATACGATCAAGAGAGAAAAAAGCTGAAGAGGTTGTCAACTTGTCACTCTCACCAGTAAAGCTGATCTACTGATGAAGTGATGATAGATGGTGAATTGGTGATTAGTAGTGTTGTGGAAACAAATTTGGTACGAGTGGCATTTGGAAATTAAGAAGTAGACCAGCAAGAAGACCAAACTTTTTAAATGGAGTAAAAAAGATTTTGTTTGAGCATCAATCTCAAGAAGCGTAAAGTCGTGTGCGCCGCTGTTCGTTGCGCATCTATCAAGGGGGTCAACGCATCGGTGGAGCTCACTTTCTACTATTTGCTCATTTTAAAATTACCATATAGAAATATAATAGATTAGTTATAAGGTTGGCTATGAATTTATTCTCCTCTCTTTATCATGAGAGCTATTTTTTTTGTTACCTCTCTTCTTCACGTAAGTTTATAATATGCTTATAGCTCACTATTATCCTTTCTTTAATAGAGCCAATTTGCATGCACAGATCAAAACGAAAGGGCTCTTCTCCAGTCAAAGCAAAAAAATCTGACGCACGCCATTTCTGTCCACGGGCGGCCGGAGTTGGAGGAGACAGCCGAGGCGATGCGATCGGGAGTAAAATTTACAAAACCGATGATAACCGTGTGGTTACTATGATAATACTACCTCCGTTTTTTAAATAGATAACGCTGTTGACTTTTTCTCACATATTTGACCATTTGTCTTATTCAAAAATTTTATGCAAATGTATAAGATATAAATCACACTTAAAGTACTATAAGTGATAAAACAACTCATAACAAAATAAATTATAATTACGTAAATATTTTGAATAAGACGAATGGTCAAACATGTGAGAAAAAGTCAACGGCGTCATCTATTAAAAAACGGAGGGAGTAGCATTTATCATCGAGGTACGATAAATAAAACCAAAAATAGTTTGATTTTTTAATAAATTTTGTATTGTTTCTTACAGTTAGCCGCTGTAATCACGCTTACCACTGGTAAAGCCCAAGTCAACGTGGGCTCTGACGGGCGATTCCTATGCGTGTGCTGGGCCACAACTCGTTGGGCCGGAACGGGATTTCTCCCGCGGCCCATGCACATGGCGGGCCAAATCAAGGTGATCACCATGAACGTGATGGGCCGTAGCTATCGAGGTGGGCCTATGATCGTGATGGGCAGTTTCGTCTCGAGCTTCTGGCCCCATCGCCAAACGCATATTTGCAAACAAAAATGATTTGTGAATAATTTTTAGGCAAAATTTGCTACAGACACCGAAAGATTGTGGCATTTGCTGTGAGACATCCGAAGATCGTGTATTTACTGGTGGACACTGCAAAAAAGTGGTAATTAGCTGCTGGACACTCCTCCCATTATTTTATTATTTCCGGTCAAAATGGAGAGAGAGAGAGTTGTGTAAGTACCAAAATGTCCCTGGACACGTACTGTTCTTCCTCTATCTCCTTTTCTTTTCCCAATTCTTCCTCGTGATGGGATGGCTCGGCCACGGCGAGGCGGCGGCGGCGGCGCATCACCGGGGTTCACCACCGACGGCGATGACGCACGGCGGCGGCCCGGCGCACGGATGAGGTCGGCAAAGCTTGGTCGTCGACGATGGTTCGCGGAATGTCTCGGCGGCGGCGCTTCACCTTGGATGAACGGCGATGGCTCAATTTCTTCAAAGGATTGCCATGCATGCATGTATTTCGTGTTAGAGAGGTCCATGTGAGGCTACCATGGCAAGGAATCGGATTGGGACTCACGGAGAGGGAGAAATCGAAGATGGAGCTCGGCGGCCGGAGTTGGAGAAGATGATGCCGATCTCCAAGATCGTTGCGCCATTGGATGGGGTACTTGGGGGTAAATGGAGACGAGGTCGAGGTAAAGCTGATGGCGTGGTGGCTCGGCCTACAACGGTCCACTGCACCCGGAATGGCGACGACGTCGAGGCAGCGACGCGCAGAGCGCGCTCCAAGGTCGGCGATGACACGACGACGTTCCCGTTGATCCGCTGCACGAGAGAGGATGGAATCAAAATGAAAAATCTTCGGCATGTTAAGGTAAGTATGGAACGGTGGTGAGGCAGAGATGGAGATAGCTCTACGGTGACAGCGGGCGTTGTCTTCTTCATGGCCGGCGAGGGATTTGAGGGCGACGAAGAGATTGAGGGCTTCCTCTCTCAGTATGGTCGACACTAGAGCCGGGGTTCACCGCTGACGGCGACGATGCACGACGGCTCGGCCATGGCGGAGCTCGGCGGCGGCGCAATGAGAAAGAGATGAACAGAGAAAGAGAGAGAGAAGAATAACAGAGAAAGAGAGATTGACAAGTGGGCCCATGGGCAAACTTGTCTTTAACCAAAGTTTCTCTCTCCATTTTGACCAGAAATAATAAAATAATAGGAGGAGTGTCTAGCAGCTAATTACCACTTTTTTACAGTGTCCGTGAGCAAATACATGATCTTCGGGTGTCTCACAGCAAAGGCCGTAATCTTTCGGTGTCCTGTAGCAAATTTTGCCTAATTTTTATATACGTGTTCTTAACAATCTAAAAGTAGAGGTTGAAAAATAAATTTCGATAGAAAAAAACCTAAATCAACTTCAAATTTAAGATTAAAAATTTAAATTAACTAACAAACATAAGTATAAATGGAAAGATGAGGTTGTTCGTTTGCGTATGCGGCTAGAGAAAGTACACCACTATCTGCCGCTACTTTGTCCCTGTCCATGCTGCCGTTGGCCAACGCATCACCGCACGGTGGTAAATCCGATGGAAATTTGATGGGTTTGTTGTTTACACAGTGCTGCTGCCAGTGCCACCGCCAATGGCGATGGCAGCGGCGGCCGCCGGAGTTAGAGAGGCGGTGATTGCCGACTAAGGTTAAATGGGCTGGTATAATTCATGGCATGTACTTCGTCCGTTTTAAAATAATACTTTCTTCATTTCACAATGTAAGTTATTTTAGTATTTTTCACATTTATATTGATGTTAATAAATCTAGATAAGTATATATGTCTAGATTCATTAGCTTTAATATAAATGTGAGAAATGTTAGAATGACTTACATTGTGAAACGGAGGGAATAATATTTGACGAATAACATATTGAACAACTATGCAATTAATGCATTGACTGATGACTGATTATTTTACTATACATATCGTAAAATATTTTTTTAACGAATCGGCATCCGACTGTGCCCATTTCATTGAATATAGTGGGAAAAAGATATCGCAAATATTTGATCCTATACTAGAAAAAGAAAGACTAGAGCGACAGATAACGACTATTATTGCATCTGAAAACATGATAGTGAAATCAAATGAGAAAGGAAACATGACCAATGGCCGACGAATCCACCTGTCTCAATCATTTAAATTTTCGGTCCACTCCAATCTTAGCGATGAACTCGACGATATTTTTGTCGGAGCTGCCACCTTCACACATGGCATTTCTGGCCTTCTCCTTCCAACCATTAGCATTCTCCATGAACTCCTTGCTCCTCTCCCCTTCCATCACCTCCCTCACACACCTCTCCAACTCCTCCTTCCTCACCACCCCCTCGCCGTCGGGCCGCACCCGCACCCCAACACGCCACACGTCCTCAATGTACTTGGCATTCATTGTCTGGTCTGACCACTGCGGTACCGCCACCATTGGTACACCGGCACTCAACCCCTCTGTCGTTGAGTTCCACCCGCAGTGCGTCACGAAGCACCCCACAGCTGGGTGTGCCAGCACCTCCAGCTGCGGGCACCACGTCACGATGAGCCCTCTCCCTTGCTTCGCCGCCTTGGCGGCGAAGCCTTCCGGTATCTTGGAGGTTTCCGATGCCCTCACCACCCAGAGGAAGGGCTTGCCGGTGTTGTACAAACCCTCCGCCACCTCGGCCATCTGCGCCGGGCTCGGCGTCGCCACGCTGCCGAAGGAGACGTACGCCACGGTGCGCGGTGGTCTCGCCTCCAGCCAGGCCTTCGTCTCCGTCGTCGGCGAGAAGAGGTGGAAGCCGTACGACGTGTCGTCCGGGAGGCGGTTGTCGAGGTACGCCGATGGCACGGTCAGCCCCACCGTCTTGGCCCGCCACGCCGACGCCATGTGCTCCGCTTCCTACCAACAGGCGACGACATTGATCGTGATCGGCTTGCACACGCCATGGACAAATTTATGGCGAGCTTGGATCAGATCACGTATATATACCTGTGGCTGGAGCTCGTAGAAGGAGTTGACGAGGACATGGTCGGCCATGTCCAGGCCCTTGAACTGGTTCACCAGGAGGTCGAGGTACGCCGGGCTGTCCTCCGTGTTCGCCATGAACGTCGGCACGTCGTCCAGCGTGAGGCCGACGGAAATCCCGGGCAGCCGTAGCGGCTCCTCGCCGTCGGCGGCGAGCGGCAGCTCGACCCGGCCCGTGAACACGCTCTCGTACGCCGCGTTCACCGCGCACGCCTGCGTGAAGAAGGACGCGGTCGCCGCACCGTGGCGCGCCGCCACGCGCGGCGCCCAGCTCAGGAACGAGTCGTACACCACCGCGTCCACCGGCCGGCCCTGCTCCGCCTCGGCGCGGAGGAGCGCGTCCATGGTGTCCGACCCGCGCGACTCCAGCCGGGACAGGTACTCGCCGGCGCTGCCGGCCTCGTGGAAGCCGCCGGCGTCGTAGCCGTCGGAGTAGGCGGCGACGTGGACGGCGCCCGTGGACGGCGGCTCGCCCTGGCGGAGGATGAACCGCGTCACGGCGAGGGTGCACCGGACGCCGCCATGGCCGGCGAGGCGCTTGCCGAACTGGAGGATCGGATTGATGTGGCCTTGGCTCGGGTACGGGAGCAAGACGACGTGGATGCCGCCGCCGCCGCCGCGCTCTGAGCTCGCCATGGCTGCCACTAGACTAGCTCTGTGCTGCTTTTGTGAACTGTGATACGCTTGCACGAGCAACCCCGGTTATCTTGGACGGTTTTTATACTGTGCTCGCGTGTCAGGTGGTCGAGCTACTGATAATTTTTATTCAGTTTTAAGTTGTCGAATACTGTCAAAAAACGAAGTTCACAAATGTAATTTGGTTTCACCAACATTGTAGTTGTCGTGGCCTTCAAGCTGATTTATTTCCTGATTGATTTTGACTCCTAGTAGATAGCTATTACCTACTCCAATTAGCTAGGGAGTGGTTAATTAAGTAAGCAGCAATGCCAATTTGCCATGATCAATTCAGATTATAAAATTGTGCAGCCGTGATTTATCCTCTTTTCTGGGTCTCTCTCCGTCTAGTTTAGGTGAGCAAATTCACGAGAGTAGTGACACACAGCACTTGTTATTTCGTAACGTCCATAGACCATAGTAATCAAGTACTACTGCATGTGTACATCTGTCCTTTTTTTTTCACCTTCATAGCTTAAAACTCATTCTTTTAAAGATAGAAGTAGTAGCTAGGAATATAGGGCACTGTTTATGAGAATTTGTAGTTATAGAATTAAAAAAAGATAAATTTAAAACCATGAGCTGCTAAACACAACTTTTCATATTCTCACGCACTGACTATTTATCGGATGTTTTTCAAAATCTTAAGTTTCCTAAAATAGATCTAGTAGTCTTTAGATTAATAAAGAGAGGTACTACATACTACTATACCTATTATTGGCAATGTTTGGACTTTAGGGTGTGTTTAGTTCACGCCAAAATTGAAAGGTTGGTTGAAATTGGAACGATGTGACGGAAAAGTTGAAAATTTGCGTGTGTAGAAAAGTTTTAATGTAATGGAAAAGTTGAAAGTTTGAAGAAAAAATTTTGAAACTAAACTCAGCCTTAGAGAGGTGGAGATTTCGAGAAGCCATTGGGAGTATCCAGCTAGTGAGAAGCTAAGTTCATGGCCACTAGTTTATTTTTTAAATTTTGTAGATATTCATTTCAGAATCTGGGATGATAATTTGGATTATCTAGAGGACCTGAGATTATGTCAGAAGCTATAGCTATTTAGAAAGCTCTCCTAAACACAATCATGGTGTTAAACTGTTAATTGACCATACATTCAGTAGCGTTGATGTATTCATATTAGCGGTGCGTTAATTAGTGTCAATAATTAACTGATATGGAATGATAGATGTTTGAGTGCTAGCTTCTTCTGTTCTCGAATAATTGACAACTATTACTATCTAACTCTAACCGCAAATTACATCTCAGATGGTTGGATTTGATCAAATAAAATTTATAAACTTTTTTCTTCAAAAAGATGTGGTTAAAGTTTGAAATTGAACACTACCAATGTCAATATATTATTCCAGAAACGGAGGTAGCACCACGCAGCGGTTGTTTTCTACGTTAATTGTGGCGAAAATGATAGGTTGTACATGTAACCAAGTACTGCGTGATGTCTATTTTTTTGCCTCGTATAAGGATTTCATTATGGGTTCCTTTCATGCATGAAATGAAGCTGCATCTATCATTAATTTCTCTTCCAAATCTGTGGTGATAGCATGACGATAACGCCGTTACTATACGCACGCTTTATGATGGAGGTAAGCGGAAACTCTTTTAGTCTCACTCGAATCGAATTTTATAAATTAGTTATTAATTTATTATTTTGTTAAAATTTGTAGAAATTAAATTTGAACGTGTATATTTGTGAAATGATATATTATCTATTAATATACCTTATCATTTTTTTTTAATTTTTTAATTAACATGTACTAAACGAGAGTGAACGTTTCTGGGTTCGAAAATTATATCCCTCCCCTAAGCTAGAGGTAAGCCAAAAACTGATAGAGTTGGATCATCGATTTGTTTCCGTTGGAGAAACGGGACGAATCACAAATGGGATAGCAATAGCATTGCCTTATTTCCATATTTTTGTTCCGTGCATCAATGAGCTTTCGAGACCAGTTAAGTGCCAGGTAGGGAGCTAGTGACGTCATTGGGCTCTCAATCTTCGTCACCAGTGACATCTGAGCTTCTTTGTCTGCATGCAGGCCAGTAGCGGCATGTTATCATCACTAACCGGTGTCCCTGCCATGCTGTCGTTGGGTCATTTTACGTCATAGCACACGTATTCAGCTAGAAGCTAGCTCTCGTTAGGGCTTCTACAATGCGCTTGCGTGTCCTTCAGCCTCAGTCTCCCAGGTCAGATATTACTAACCACGTTTTCCTCTCCTGATATCGAGTGAAGACCCACGGGTCCCAACCGAGACTCGCGTTTATTGTTAGATTTTACTAGCATTCGTCAGAACCGACCCACACTCGTCGTGCCCCACGGGCCGTCAGGGAAGGAAGAGGAAGGAAAGGGAGCTCATCTCGGCGGTCAGAGAGGGAGCCCGTCAACCTCCGCCGTCCCCTAATCTGTGCTGCCGAGTAGAGGTTGGCTCCGCAGGTCGTGACCCCTTGCTCCGCGTCGCGTCGTGCCATGCTTAAACTACCCGCCATCGCCCGGCTCATCGCCGAGGAGTTTCCGGTGAACTCGTGACCCCTCGACCATCACCGAATCTGAAGCTTGAGACTGCCGATTGAGGGGGAGAGCTCAAGGTTACCGGCACGAACCATGATGACGTCATCATGGTTGTTGGCAAGACGACATGGATGCCACCGTGCTCTGAGCCCGCCATGGCTCAGCTGCCACTAGCTCTGCTGCTTTGTGAACTGTCCTAGACTGACCACATGATCGAGCTAGCGGCCCGGGTATCGTTGACGGTTTATATACTGTGCTCGTGTGTACTACTCAGTACAATTATTTTAAGGATTTGCTCAAGAAGATGATAGCTACTACTCTTGGTGCAATAATTTTGTGAGCAATGCTGGACAAGGAAGATAACACTCACTGCAATAATTTAATAGGAATGCTAAAGGATGGCAATTGTCGTACAATAATCTCAGAGGAATGCTAAAGAAGGAAGATAATTCTAACAGCAATAATTTTACTAGAAAGCTAAGTAGGAACGGAGGATGATAGTACTTGGCACAACAATTTTGAGAACTTTTACAGTACATTCTACTGCTAGTATATACTAGCAGTATATTTGATCCAACGGTGTAAATTTATCTGATTTTTCTCCTAATTATCCTGCAGTATAAATTGAATACGGTAAATTTGTCCTTTTATCTTTTTGCGTGGGAGGTATTTTTGTAAATTCATGCTATCTCACTTAGTCAGATCCGTTTGCCCGGCACCCAGTCGAAACCGAAGCCGCTCGGCTCGAAACAGCCGCCGTTGGTTTCTTTCGGCGTCGCCCCCATAGCCGTCAGCCACAATCGGCGCCGCCGCCATCGGAAATCGATTCGATTTCCCTCCTCCTTTGCTCCTCTCGTGTTTGCAGCGACGCCGCCGTAGTTTGGGAAAGGCAGAAGCTGTGGGAGGACAGGCTAGGGCTGGAGGCAAAGCGCTGGGGACGCGGGAGATGGTGGGCGCGTGGAGGTTAGGCTTCTCCCTGCGCCGGAGGAAACGGGATGGAGGCACCAGGGCCAGAGCGAGGTGCACCGGGGCGGGAGCGAGGTGCGCCCAGCCTCCATCGCCGGTGTCACCAGATGTAACGAGAAGACGCGGATGATGAATTGACGATATCCAGGAAAAAAAATCCACGGGAAAGTTAATTCCTATTTGTGATAAAAAAACAATATCTATCTTAAATGACTAAACAACCCTTTTTAGAATTTTAACAAATACCAAATATACCCTATTATATACTGCTAGTATATACTATACTAGCAGTAGAATGTATCGTAAAAATCCTCACAATTTTAGGGGAATGCTAAGGGAGGATGGTAGTACACAGCACAATAATTTTAGGGGAATTCTTAAGGAGGATGATAGTAGTCGGCCTAATAATTTTTGAGGAAATGCTAAAGGATGGTATTCCGTCCACAACACATTGCGTGGTACTCCCTTATCCATTCGAGGCGTAGGAGTCGTTTTGCGGTACTCTGTTGCAATCTCCCGTCTAGTATGAACAACTTATTCACTAACATCCATAGCCAGCAAAAGAAGGATTGAATGGCCTGAAAAATCAATGTGTTTGTTACGTAGGGACATGACACCCAACTCAACTCACTTGGTGTATGTATGTTGTGTAGTAGTAGAATCCATTCAGATTTTTTGACAGAAAGTTGTGCAATTACTCTCGTGTATCAAAGATGGATGGATGTGTGTCCAAGAGGACATTAAATCGTCCTTAGGAGCACATCCATCGCATTGATTATGGATCCCCTCAAGTTTCCTATCTACATTATGTTGAGAGATACTAGTATTCAGGTCTTGATCTCTATCAGACGTTGCTCTTTAGACTGTGAGAGAGAAGACTGTGGGTAGGCTTCAATGTGGAGTCCACGGAAGGTCGATTGCTACGGTCCATCCAGCGAGAAACTCAAGAAGTTAGCTTGGACTTATAATCATATAGAGTACAATGGTTTGTCTCTCGCTGGAGAGATAAAGCTAGCTTTTGTAGGATAAATGGCCTGTTCACTTTAATGCCATTTTTAATCTTACTAAATTTTAGTAAAGTTGCCAAAAAAAAAGTGGCTACATTTAGTTTGCTATCAAATTTTGATAACTATATAAGAAATCCTACCAAAATTTTAGTAAGTTGCCAAAATTTCGACATAGTTGCCAAAATTTCAGCAATGCCAAAATTTGATGAGGTTTTTTTTGGCATCAAGGTGAACAGGCCCAAAACCTATCATAGGGCCTGTTCATTTTGATGCCATTTTCAACCTTACCAAATTTTGGTAAAGTTGCCAAAAAAGTGGCTACATTTAGTTTACTGTCAAATTTTGGTAACTATATAAGAAATTTACCAAAATTTTAGCAATGCCAAAAATTGATAAGGTTTTTTTTTTGGCATCAAAGTGAATAGGTCCATAGACTTCAAAAAAGTTTAGAAACTTTAATTATTATATACTCCATCCATCCCATAAAAAGCCAACTTATGAGGAAGAGCTTGTCCAGATTCATCTCTATAAATTATCATTTTTTTAAGGACGGAGGGTATATTAACGAAGAACAGAAATAAGACTATTTAATTATCTTTTGGGAGGTCCGAACCAGGGTTCACAAAACCAATAAAATTTCGTGAAAACCATCAATATTAACCGGTTTCCATATGGTATCGACTGAAATTCACCGTTTTTATCGGTTTTCGGTTGAAACTGGTGAGAAACGGTTTTTACTTTGAAATCGAAAATATTCGAAACCAGCACGTGGATCAGACACCGTTGCGTACTTGTTGCATTCTTCTTGCATCATCCGTTTTGCTGTACGTGTCGGCGCGGAGGCGGAAGTGCGGAACCCCACGCGGCCCGCACACGCGCTGCACGCGGTGGCCATGCCCGATCCGTGGGGAGGCGATTCGTTTTGGCCGGCCCAAACGCGAGATGGGCCGGATTTCGCCAGGAGTGGGCCGGTCCTTATCTGCTGTTCAGTTACTGCTTTACTACTTGCTTACTATGAATGGAACAATCAGAAAACAGCGAATAATCTTAAAGGTGATTCAATTTTTTTTACATGAAATTGCGTTGGATTATAACATGTAGTGCAGACAAGGGGTGTTCAAAAATTTGTAATTTTAGTTCTTTTTAACTGTATTTTTGTTGTTATATATTTTTTTCCTGTTTGTTTATCTAGGTTTGAATTGTTTTGCTTCTAATTTGTGATTTATTTTTGAATTGTGAGTTTATGTAATGTAAATTTTTTTCTAGGTTAGAATAATGTACAGTTCCCTTTTTCTACTTCCTCTGTTCCATAATAAGTTTTTTTTTCTCTTCTTATTTATCCCAAAATAAGTTTATTTTTGAGTAAACGTTGCATCAGAGTTTTTGAAATTATGAAATAATTGTATTAAGAGTACATAAAGTGGAAATAATTGCATTAGAATTTGATAAAGTAGAGGTATCCTAGTCTATTTAGTTTTGTATAGACATAGGTGGGATAGGTGATAAATAAACTTATTTTAAGATGGAGAAGTAATAAGAAATATAAGAGACCTTGTCTCAGTAAACAGGAGAGGAGCGATGAGAACTAAAAACTTCAGTCACCTGAAATTTAGACAATCCCTAAATCAACATCATCCAACTCAACAACCATAGCGATGCATAAACTATGAAACTGTTCCAAATTCATGGCGAGGCGATCCATCAATTAATTAATTGACCACAAACGACAATGAGAAAGCAAAGCATAACATATGCGCCGAAAAATCATTTGGTCCCATGCGGCGGCAACCGATACTTGGACAGGAACTCGGCGATGTTCCTGTCCGAGCTGCCACCTTCGCCCATGGCGCTCCTCGCCTTGGAGCTCCAGCTCGCCGCGTTCCTCATGAACTCCTTGCTCCTCTCCCCCTCCATCACCTCCCTCACCTTCCTCTCCACCTCCTCCCTCCTCACCACCGCGCCGCCGTCGCCGCCGCCGCCGCCGCGAACCCGCACGCCGACGCGCCACACGTCCTCGATGTACCTGGCGTTCGTCGTCTGGTCCGACCACTGCGGCACCGCCACCATCGGCACGCCGGCGCTGAGCGCCTCGACGGTGGAGTTCCAGCCGCAGTGCGTCACGAAGCAGCCCACGGCGGCGTGCGCGAGCACCTCCAGCTGCGGGCACCATGGCACGATGAGGCCGGTGTTCTTCGCCCTGGCGGCGAAGCCGGCGGGGAGCTTACCGGTCTCCGTGGCGCGGACCACCCAGAGGAATGGGCTGCCGCTGCTGTAGAGGCCCTCGGCGACCTCGGCCATCGTCTCCGGCCCCGGCGCCGCGATGCTCCCGAACGAGGCGTACACCACGGAGCCCGCCGGCCGCGCGTCCAGCCACTCCCGGCACGCCGCCGCCATCGGCGTGTGGAGGTGGAAGCCGTACGACGCGTCGTCCGGGAGGCGGTTGTCGAGGTACGCCGATGGCACGGTCGGCCCGATCGTCCTCGCGCCCCATGTCGCCGCCATGTACTCCGCTTCCTGAGCAACAAACAAAATGTCAGGCACGCGCGGCGACGGCGAGCACACGCCATTGGCGACTAGTTTTGGTCTCACCTGAGGCTCGAGCTCGTAGAACGAGTTGACGAACACGTGGTCGACGTTGTCGAGGCCGACGAACTGGTTCATCAGCAGCGCGCGCATGGACGGGTGGTGCGTGTCGTGGGCGGCCAGGAACGTCGGCACGTCGCCGGCGTCGAGCTCCACCGGCAGCCCGGGCAGCCGGAGCGGCCCGTCCGCCTCCCCCACCGGCACCGGGAGGCGCCCGGAGCGCGCGTGCGTGTACACCACGTCCACGGCGCACGTCTGCGTCAGGAACGCCGCGCACGCCGCGCCGTGGCGCCGCGCCAGCCGGGGCACCCACGGCATGAACGTGTCGTACACCACCACCGTCGCCGGCGTCCCCCGCTCCGCCTCCCCGCGGAGCAGCTCGTCCAGGGACACCGACCCGGCCTCCTCCAGCCGCTGGAAGTACGGGCCGCGGTGGCCGCCGAGCTCCGCCGGGCCGCCCTCGTCGCAGCCGTCGGAGAACACGCCGACGCGCACCGGCGACGAGCCGAGGCTGCAGGGCTTGGTGGTCGAGCCGACGACGAACCGCGTCACGGCGACGGTGCACCGGACGCCGTCATGGCCGGCGAGGCGCTTGCCGAACTGGAGCACCGGGTTGATGTGGCCCTGGGACGGGTATGGCACGAGGACGACATGGACGCTTCCCTCGCCGGATTGCACCACCATGGCTTCGAGCTTCGATTCCCTCGTCGAACTCTTTCTTGGTTGGCTTTTACTACTTATGGTAGAGAGAAGGGCGAGAGTTCTGTGCTTTATATAGAGGTCGTGGCGCGATCTTTGGACGAACAGGTGGCGGGTACACCTGGGACACGTGCGCATCTGTTGGTTTTGTACTGTCAATCACTCACTACAGCTAGCTTCTGATCGACATGACGATGGATATAGAAAAACAGATGATCAAAATGACTCATATACGTTGGAGAAGTCTTACAAAAGTTCTCTTGCTTTTCTAATGTTTTTCGTGGCAGCCATTGGATGGAAGCGCCGACAGTTTTCATGAAAGTTTAGAAAGATTGTAAGTTTCAACTTATTGCCATTTTGGAATTTTTCGGTTTACTTTCATATTCCATTTTCTTTACTTCTTTTTGAGATTAGACGGGTGCAACTACAGAAATGAGTCATATGACAGACGTGAATTATATCCTAAAAGAGTAAATGTAATTTTTAATTCCCACATTACCCCTTTCCACATATTTTCTAAAGTAATTGTATTTCTAGTTTTGAATCTAGACGTCTTGTCCAGATACAACGTCAGATCGAAATGCATTTAGTATGGAGTATATGAGACGGAGATAGTATGTATTTTAGCTTGCCTTTTTATAATTCATTATGAATTGTGTAATACTATTGTCTAGATTGATATAGTCATGGTATAATTATTTGACACATAAATCTTTGGACGACAATTAATTAGTTGAAATAATTTGGTGCAAAAAGATATGCCAATTCAACACTTAACTATTTTGGGTCTGTAACTTATTTGGTGAGTATTAATGCCATTCAGATTCGGCCAAAATTAACCTCAATCAATTCAGCCACCCCCTCTCTCTTCTGTAGGAGCAGGTTTTCTCACGTTTAGCTTTCCCTAGAAGTTTTTCGTTTTCTCTTGTTTCCCCTGACAATGACCGCCTGGCCATTTACACCGTGTAATTAAACTCTGCTTCTTCTACTATATTAATATGCAATCTTTTTACGCGTTTACGGAAAACCTCAATCAATTCTTTTTAAATGCGTTAATGGTTCATAAGTCATTATATTAGAACAAAATCATTCTCCTGACCTCGCTATATACCATCAAAATGTGTTACTCCCTCCGGACCAGATGGGACCTTTCATAATCCAATGAGTCTAGATAGGAGACATGTCCAGATTCGTTGTACTATGAAACGTCACATTCTATTTTAGGTTGCTATATCATGAGACAGAGGGAGTAAATTTTTGTACTGCCAAATAATTGATAAGGTTGATATTCACAAGCCTACTCCCTCCGTCCAAAAAAAATTCAATTCCTGGGTTTCCGTGTTTAACATTTAACCGTTCGTCTTATTTAAAAAAATTATGAAAAAAATTTAAAAGATAAATCATGCATAAAGTATTAATCATGTTTTATTATCTAACAATAATGAAAATACTAATCATAAAAAAATTTCATATAAGACGGACAGTCAAACGTTGAACACGAAAACCGAAAAATTCGATCTTTTTTAGGACAGAGGGGGTAAGTTAGCTGCATCCCATGCATGATTGATTGATATCGTGCCGTAATAATCAATCATCTTGGATCACTACTCCTAAGGAAGAAGAAAGAAAGATCTGGAAGAATCTCTCACGTTGAAAAGAAAGATCCGGTGGATGACAACCGCATGATACATCTTTGTCATGAAGCTGCCCATGCCTCATCCATCACCCCATCAGACGTGCTCTAACAGTACCGCTCTCTATCCCTAAAATATCCTAAAACAAGTACATCATTTTCCTAAAATATAATGGTTATTTCAGTATTACACAGTAATTCAGAAAGTAGATAAAAAAATGTGATGGTTGTTTTTGGTTGATATATAAATAAGTAGATGGAGAAATTAATACCAGAGATAATTTTGATCGGTTGACGAAAGAGCAGGTATAAAAGTTTTCCAACGTGGTCATTTTGATCATAGGAATAGTTATAAATAAACGTATGAAGTTTCTTTTGATTGTCTCGGGATTTTACAGGAATTCTAACCTGAGCTTTAACCCCTTGAAAATAAATAAGGGGGTGTTTAGATTCAGGGTTGTAATGTTTTGGCGTGTCACATCGGGTATGATATAGGGTGTCACATGGGGTGTTCGGGTGCTAATAAAAAAACTAATTACAGAATCCTAATTAATCCATCATTAGCAAATGTTTACTGTAGCATCACATTGTTAAATCATGTAGCAATTAGGCTTAAATCGCAATATGTACAATTAGTTATTTTTTAGCATGTATTTAATACTTTATACATGTTCAAGCATTCGATATGATATGGTGTAAAATTTTCGTGTGGAATTCTTTCCTGATTCCTGTGATTTTTATTGTGCTCTATCTAAACGGCTATTCCAAAGTGGAGGATGCATGTCCCTTGTGGTGCTAGTGGTCGGCTTGTCTCGTCCACGTCCGAGTTACTGTAGCTAGAGTGGCGCGCCCGCCCGGCCATGCGGCGCCGTTCTTTCGGTGTTTGTGGCAGCCCATCGATCGACGGTTTGATCGTGTCACTCCACCGACTCAGCAGTGACGAACGCGTTCTGTCGTCATCGCTGACGTAGCTTCGCATGACGCGGCTGACGTAAGAACTAAGAACCGACCTGCATGTATGCAAGTCTAAGTAGAGTACTCCCTCCATCCCAAAAAGACTCAAACTAGTATTGGATGAGACGTTTTCTAGTACAACGAATTTGGACAGTCCAGATTCGTTGTACTAGAAAACGTCTCATCCAATAATAGTTTGAGTCTTTTTTGGACGGAGGGAGTATGAACCAATGTATTGGGAGGTGAGAGAGCTGTCGAAATCTATCATTTTCCTAGGCTATTTCGACATCGAAAACGGTAGCGAATATCGGAATATGACGCCCGAACTGTTTGGAATAATATTTGGAGGCGGAAGAACCATCAAAGCACGGACAAATGCAGGTGTTAATCACGAATTAATCATCGATAATCTGGACCTGGAGTACCATATCATAAGAGAGACCATATATGGTCCATGGACGCTGACCAGTTGAGTTGCATCGCTACCCACCTGATCGACACCCCAGTGTCACATATACATACATACATACATACATACATACATATATATATACATATATATATATATATATATATATACATATATGTATGTATATATGTATATATATATGTATGTATGTATGTATGTATGTATATGTCCATATATGCTCGATCGACACACTGCCTGTACATAACTCGCAATTTATTCCCTTTATTAATTAGGCCTTGTTTAGTTCCTACTTTTTCTTTAAATTTAAAATTTTTTCATCACATCAAAACTTTCCTACACACATAAACTTTCTATTTTTTTTTCAAACTTTTAATTTTAGCGTGGAACTAAACACACCCTTAATCACAAATTGGGCAAGTTCAAGAGGATGGTCGGGCTGCAGCAGCGCTGTGGCTGCACTGCAGCAAGCTAGCACAGGCGCGAAGCACAATTTGCGCTGGCTTTTGCTGCTACAATTGTGTAGACTCTCATTGGTTTCCCAATATTTCCTAATAAGCCGTTTTAGCTTATTAGGGAATAAAAATTAATTTACAGGTAAAAAATTTATACATTTGTTCGTAGCGACTTAAAATCCAATACTAAAAAGAAATTACGCTAAAAGTATCTTAATATGAATTTCAAAATCAAGTTCAAAAATTTAAATTTTAGCTCTGGCTTTGTGGTTTATTAGGCCAACCGATGAGACTCTAAGCAGCCGAATACGGTGAAAGTTTATTTGTAATTGCATGCAACATGTGAATGGTCATAAAAAATTCCGAGAGAACATTCATAGCTATATTGTAATAGTGCAAACATTAAAAATTAACATATATTACAGCGGTACATATCCCTCCACAAAACATAAAACACTAAAGTCAATCTAAACATCCCACGGGAAAAAAACACAAATTTGACTATATATAGTATCGATACTATTTATAACTGAATTTATTTATTTGATTTATTTATTTAAGTCTACTTTGTACTTGAATTTTACAGATGATATACCTGCTATATAAATGTTTTTTTAAAAAAATATTATTTCTTAAAGAATTTAATAGCGTTTTTTTCTTATAATTGAGGAGTGAAACAAATGGCAATGATCCCAATTCCTTCGTGCAGCACAGTCGCAATTGCATTGTATCTCAATCCCACAGTTTCATGGTAACACCTGGCCCAGTTCGCATATGATCGACCAAAGTTCATCTCAATCAATCGATCCAATCTGCATCCCATGCATGACAGATACCGTGCCGTATCATCTTGAATGACTTAGGAGTAACTTTTCGAAAGAAGAAAGAATCGAATAAAAGAACCTGAAGAACCCACTGACTTTGAGAATTCAAAAGAAAATTCTTTGTACATGACAGCCACCTTTTGTCTTCAAGCTGTGCCACCACCTCACCTATCCGACGTGCTTCTGTCAATTGCATCTCTCTGAGTTACTACTTTTGTTCCGTAGGTTCTTTTGGAGAAATCAAGAAAAAGAAAGACCATAATATCCCTTATAAAATAATAAGATCTTTATCAGGTAAAAAGGATAGATAGAGCAGGAAAGAAAAAAAAAATCGAAAATCCCTTTTATTTTGAAATGAAAAAAAAAGTTCAATTTACTCCTCGAACTATTCCATTGGATCACTTAACCCCATAAATTATTTTTTGGCTCATTTTACCATTTGATTAATTACACTTTTGTTTCTCATTATACGAGTCATATTTTAAGCTTAAATTTTGTATAGCCATAGATGACACCATTATCAAATTAAAAGATAACTTAAAAATATTTCATGACTATTTGTTTGAATATAAAACCTCTATGTTTAAATTAGTTTCAGGCTTTCAACCTATGTAAACAACGATTAAAAATTCCAAAATTTTTGACAAATAAATTATAATATATATAGAGAGAGTAGGAAAATGACAATAGTTAAGAAGTAAGGTGAATCTTTTTAATAGTTCAGGAAGTAAAATGAGTTGAGAAATTGTTTAGAGGTTAATTAAGTGTTCA